TTCCAAGGGGGGCCGACGCAGTGTCCGAACATGCGAAAGCCGCCATCATGGAGTGCCGGTCTGTTGCCGGGACGGCGACAGAAGAACAGGTGAAGAGAATTGACAAAGTCGTGGCACAGATTTTTGGGGAACTCCAGGAATTCCTTCAGCAGGAAAAGAACCCTGAATCTGTTGCCGCGGTTCCCATGAAGGAAGGAAAACTCGTCGAGTTCTGCACTTTTAGGATTCATCCTTGGGTAACACGGCTATGTCATACAACATTCCGGTGATCCGTTGCACGGAAAAGCACTTGAATGGCCTTGATGTATCAAGCTTGGAAACCTTAGAGGGAATGCTATCTTCAGGGGAAAGTCTTGACTTGTGGGGAAGCCTGCCATGCAGTCCATGGTCTCAATACCAACATCTATGTGCCCATAGGTACGGTAAGGCATACATCAGACGCCTCAAGAATGCACGTAGTATCTCCAAGAAGCTGGTAGGGAACTATTGCAAACTAGCTAGGAAAGTACACGAACAGGGGGGTCGGATTGCCTTTGAGTGGCCTAGAAATGCCACAGGATGGCAATTGCGCGAGCTGCAACGCCTTGTTCGAGACCTGAACATGTTCAGTTGCGATTTCGATGGTTGTGCAGTTGGTTGCGTGGACGCAAAAGGACTGCCGCACTTGAAGCGATGGAGGGTGGTTACCACATGCCCTCGCCTCGCCAAGGCCCTGAAATCTAAGCGCTGCAGCCATCCAAAGGGTTTCAAACATGCCACTATTGAGGGCCAAGCTACACGTAAGACTGCAAGGTATCCATTCCCAATGTGTGAGCTGATATGCTCGGCATGGTACCCTGAAAAGGTATCGGGCCATGTGCCAGCAATGCCGGTTGTTGAGGTGATGCCACAATCGCACCGCGAGCGTGAAGTACTCGCACCAGCATTGGCCGCTGCGTCCGACGCCGATTCTGAGCCAGAGATGCCACCGGAGGAGTCTACCATGAGACTCAGAAGAGAAGCGCGAAGCTTCGAGCATCAGCTGCTACACGCTAAGAAAAACAACCAATGTGAGCACTGCTTGAGAGGTAGGATGCTAAACAAGTACAAACATTCGCATCGCCCAGGCGATGATGAACCAGCAGAGTACAAGCATCCAGAATCCTTTGGCAGACTCATACAAGCAGACAACATTATTGTTTCTGCGGAACATGCAGGGATGGGAGGCGAGCAAAATGCGCTTCTAATAAGGGACCATTACTCAGGTGTGTCCATAGCATACCCACAATTAGACCGCTCAGAAGAATCCAATTACTTGTCAATGAAACACTTTGCAGGAGTTGCTTTGAACGGAGCCACAGACACGGTGTTCAAATCAGACACTGCCGGTGAGCTCACAAATGCCGCGCACCGCTTGTGTTGGACTGTTGATCCATCGTTGACAAGGGCTTGGCCGCACAATGCATCGTGTGAGAGGGACATCCGCTCCCTGAAGGAGGCTTGTAGACCATCTCACTTGCAGGCCGGGTTCTGGAGAAAGCTGTGGCCAGTGTCTCTGGCATACACGGCAAAAGTTCGGTCGTTTTGTGAAAATGCTCCCATCTACCCCCATGAGGTAGGTGGGCCTGCGGAGGAAGCCAAGAAGGGCAAGAGTAAATGGGAGGTTGCCACGGGGAAACCCTTCAATGGAACCCTCTACCCCTTGGGGGCACTTGTCTTTTATCATGCTAAGAGCAGTGATGGCATGGCAGCGCCAACCACACGCCCTGCCATCTTTGCGGGATGGAAGATGGAGCCAGGCCTTAGACATAGGGACGTAGTGCAAGTTCTAGACTACGAAGCTCTTAGGCAACTGTCTCATAAGTATTGGGTTCCAAAGGATGTGCATCAGAAAGAGGTTTACTTTCCACCTGTTGAATATATTGAATACCCATTACAACGTGCTGCACAAAAATCCCTTCTTCATGTTACTGATCAAATGCATGAGCTTAGGAAAGCGGAGTTTGACAGATCACTCGAAAGGGGGGTACTTCCGTATGAAGTTGCCATTGATGCGGTACCGTACTCAGGAAAGGATGGGGGAAAAGCCAGACACTCGTACATCACTTTCGGTAGGCTTATAGAGCATGGATTTACCAAAGGTTGCTCAGGTTGTGACAATGGCACCACTCGCCACTCACAAGAGTGCAGGGACCGCTTTGATAAGCTATATCCCAAGAGCTCGCCGGCGGAGACCAAACCGGAGGCGTCATCAGACGCACCTGTGCCAGAAACTCCTGTGCCTGTGCCACCAACGCCAGGATTTGTTCCTGCGCCATCCACGCCAAAGCCTCGGATCAAGGAAGGTGATCCTGGCTACGATCCCAGATCTGAAGGGCCAGGGGATCCAGGATACATTCCGCCTTCAGCGGAGGCATCTTCCAGCAAGACTGCTGCGATTGCGACGCAGGATCCATCTTGTGACAAGGACTCACTTGAGTTGGACTTGTATGCACTCGTAACAAAATTGCTAGATAGAAAGGAATGGATAAAAGATCCTAAAGCCGTGGCAAAAGTCAGGGAGGAATTTGACGGCTTAACCGGCAAAGACACGTGGGATCTCGACTCGGTCGATGAGCATGCCAACATCGTGCACAATGCCAAGCTAGCCGGCAAAACTGTGCATATCGCAGACATAATGTCCATATGCAGTCGTAAATACGATGAGCTGCCAAAAGAGTATCATCAGCTAAAAGGGAGGATAGTGTACAGAGGAGACAATGCTAAAGACCAGAATGGCGCTCTCGCCATATATCAGAGTCTGTCAGCATCCCCGGCTACTATCACAGCCGCTAACGCTGTGATAGCCTTTGGGCAGCTCCCCGGCAGCACTACGACTAGCGCCGACGTTGTGAAAGCATATGTGCAAGCTCCGTTAGGAAGTTTACATGAAACATGGGTGCGTTTGCCTTGGGAATTATGGCCGGAATCTTGGAAAGGTAAGTACAAGAAGCCATTGATAAGGCTACGCAAAAGCCTTTACGGGCATCCGGAGTCGGGCGCACACTGGGCTCGATATCTCGAACGGGCCGTCGTGAAGCTAGGGGGCCAGCCTGTGGATGGGCATCCTTCAACATTTTTCTTCAAAGAACGAAGCCTCTTGTTGACTGTTTATGTTGATGATTTGCTGCTCTCAGGAAGCATCGCTTCACACACCCCCTTTTGGGAAGAATTGGGGAAGGTGATCGAGATCGAAGATATCGGTGATTTGGGAAGGTTCCTTGGTAGGCACCACGAACTTGTCAGAGTAAATGGTAGAGAGGGCATTGCCTTTAACGTAAGGGAATACATGAAATCTGCTGTTGAAATGTACTTGAAACTCAGTGGTGCAGAGACCATTAAGGGAGCTCCAACTCCATTCCTTCCAAAGGGATCAATCCTTCCAGAGGAATGGGAGGAGAAAGGCCAGCTCGAGGAACACGCATGTGCAGTTCTCATGAAACTCCTGTGGGGGGCCCGGCTAGGCCGCCCAGATGTGCTACGGGCAATCACTCATCTTGCCACACTTGTCAGTAAGTGGAGTAAAGCATGTGATCGCATGTTGCATAGGCTCATGGCGTACGTGTCACAATCCACAGACTACACTCTGGTCGGGTACATAAATGACTCGCCGGAGGACTTGTGGCTGGAGATATACACAGATTCGGACTTCTCAGGCAGCCCTGATTGCTTCATTCAACCAGTGGCGCATGGCTGCAGTTGCGTGGACCAAACTCTGTGTGGCCCCTTAGCTGGGCATCCAAGAAACAAACAGCAGTCTCTTGGTCAACAACAGAGGCAGAGGTCATTGCCATGGTCTTTGGTGTGTTCTCAGAGGCACTTCCCATGGAAGTGTTGTGGGGCATGGTCCTTCAGAGAGAAATTCACACTATCATCTACGAGGACAACGAGGCGACCGAGAGGATTGTACGCTCAGGGTTCAGCCAAAAGTTGAGACACATAACCCGCACTCATAAGGTTAACTTAGGTTCCTTGTGTGACGTGGTTGCATCTCCGGACCGTACCCTGAAACATGTAACATCTGTTGACCAGATCGCAGACGTGTTCACGAAAGCAGTTGAGCAGCAGGGCTGGCAAAATGCTCTCAGGTTGCTCGGCATGACCACATCCGTGCCCGAGACCGTGAGGCGTTCCATGGCCGGTTTCAAGCTGCAGCAGGATCAAAAACCACAGTAGGTTTGGCTTGTATGCTTGTAGGCCATCTTGAATCCGTGCGCAAAAGCACAGGACTTGATCGGACTCAGCATCTTGTTGAACTTGAAACGATCGTCAACCGCTGCCGTTAGGCGCGATCCAAACCGTGTGCGAAAAGACACTTGTGAGGATAACTTCGTGTGTTCGCCCGCTTGTGTCGCACCCACCGGACATCAGACCAGGGGGGTTACTTGTGAATGCATGCTAGCTGCTAACACTTGTGATCACCTTAATCGCAGGCAAGGCGAAGGACGCACGTCATGATGTGTCAGCCTACAACAACATCAGTGGTTGTGACTGCTTTGGACGCATTGACAGTTGCCACCAAGAAATTTTGCACGAACCCAGCATACGGCTGGCAGCTCAGGCCCACTGGCAGTGTAATCGCACTGATCTACATGTAGAGAGGGGGGAGAAGAATAACATCAACTCAAATGGTCATTTGGACCATACTCTACAGTGTGATCATGTGCCCCGGAATCGCAGTGCCATAGGTTTCCATTCCTAGCCTGAACTGTTTGCATCATTACATTTGGCTCAAGGCAAAAGTCCGTGGGCGGGGGCGGGTCGAATCCCTTAAGTGTTCCTCGTTTGCGGTTGCCATAGCACACACTGGAATCTGTCACTTGACAGTTGCTTGCACGGATTGCACAACTGGGTTCAGGCGGCGGATTCTTTTGGGTGTATGTTCTTTTCTCTCTCGGATGGGTTCTACTACCCCAAAATCATTGAACCCCGTCAAACCCCTGTGGGAAAGGTAGGGAAACCCACGCTTCGCTTTGCCTAAGGTTCTGGCCCCAATTTTCCCCCACGGTCAGTGCAGATGGGTGGGGCGCTCAGTGAGAGAGTCAAGCACCCAACTGAGCGAAGCGCTAGCGATAGGGCCGGGCATTGCCTGAGGCACGCCGCCCAGGGTCGCCTTCAAGACGGTTTTGAATTGTCGGATAGACGTTATATGAAACAGAAACAAACAAATATCTGGGTGTGGGTCAAAATTAAACCACCAGGGGACTGCGGGTTTTACTCCTTGGTTCTATTTACCTTGGTTCTATTTACCAGGGTTCCATTGTGGGTACCAGTTTTTGACCCACAGCCATATGATTTTCTGTGTGCCACGTGGGCCAAGTCTTAGTTTCCGCTGATGCGGGCGGTTCTGCTAGTCGCCTCCCAAGCAAAATTGTAGGCCTTTCCGGTTCCTCCCTTTGGAGGTCGGTACAAGGCCATTAGGGCCTTGCGGGCTGTCTCTGGGGGGATCGGGTTGTACTGTTGTACCTGTTCCTTTGGGTGCTTCCCATGGCAAGGTCGTCAAGCTTGGGATACCCCATTCAGGGCCCTGACGTTTGGCATCTAGACACAGAATTGCCCTTGAATGGGAAAGAGAAGCTGAGTAGACATTCACAGTCCCTCGGAGCAAGTTCTTAGCCGCAACTCCCACAAATCAGATGTTTTAGATTCTGGCCCATATTTAGTGAACGTTTGAAAGTAAAACCAACTCAGCAGGGGGATCAGCCCCTCCCCCAATGACATTTTTTGTTAGGTGGACTTCAACTCATTGGTCAAGTGAGAAAGTGTTTGCATGATACGGAGGCCACTTGGCGCTGCTTCTCCAGATTGTGTGGCGCTGCTTCTCCAGATTGCGTAGTTCAGGATGGTTCACGCTGAAAACGGCGAGCTTGGTTGAAGCCTTCCCTTTCATAGGAGCTGGCGGGATGGCTTTTGGCTACTGGGTACAAACATAGCTCCGGTTGCTTGGCCAGGCAACACCTCACCCCAAAGCAAGAAAGACCTTTTGACATGCCAGTTTTCCCACAAGGGCTCGAAAGACCTATTGAGTTGTACCTGGAGTCTCCATGACCTTTTCAAAATCCATCGTTAGGAGACTCAGGTACCTGGAGTCTCCGGATCTGACCCTTTAAAAATGGGTCCATGACCCCATGATTTTGGGTAATGAACAACCATATTTTTGATTCGGGTCAGAAGGAGCCTCGAGGCAGATCCTTTGGGCAGTTCAGCAACGCTTCGCATCAGCTGCTCGCAGCTTGCGAGGATACCTACGCGGATCGGCAACCCCTACGCGGCGCTGCCAGGCGGCTGCCAGAGGTGAAACGAGGACACTAGGGCAAAGATGGCAATTTGGGTATGGGTCAAAACTCAACCAGGAATTGGACCGCAGGTTTTAGTCAACTTGTTTCCAGTATCCAGGGTTCCGTTTTGAGTACATATTTGTGACCACAGCCATTTGTGGTTGGATTCCTGAGTTCGGGTTTGTGAAGTGTAGCAGCCGGCGGTCGTTTTTGAGACCTCCGGAATGTTTAGACCGAGAGCGCACCAAGCTTCGAAGGGGTTTGCATGTAAAAGCCATTGGGAATTCAGCCAAGTTCAATTCGCCTCTTTTTGTTTCAGGGCTGTTGGACATGTGCTAGTACCTGGAGTCTCCTTCTCACCCTTGAAGTACCTGGAGTCTCCTTCTCACCCTTGAAAAATGGCTGGTCATTACCCAACATCATGGGGTCAGACCCATTTTTGATTCGGGTCAGATCCGCAGACCGTAGGCACATTTGAAGAGGGCTCCAAGCTGATGCCCCAGGATCGACCGGATATGTCCATACTTTATGTCTTTTACTTGGACCCTGCATGGCACCACGGGGCCCATTCTTGGCCGAAATGCCCAGGGCGTGCTGGGCAGTTGGGTTTCCTGAACCCCTGGCACGCCACAAACTCAGCGCTGGATCCTTTCACTGGGACAAACGGTTTTCAAAATATCGGGTCCAACTAGCTGGGTACACCTGTACCATTCTGTTACCAATCAAGGTTTTTTTTCCTAAAAACAAAATCGGTTAACCATCCTCCATTGGTTCTTCTCGGAGCGCAGTGCCTCATGTTTCAAAATTGCGACTCCGGGCATTGCTGACCCCTCAGTACTCAGTACGGGCTGTCGGCGGTGCGGGGTTGGACCCCCTGAAAGGTGACCATGAAGTTCTGGACATCGAAACTAGATTCTAGATACAGGCAAGTTGCCCAGTGGTTGTTTGTTTCGCTGTAGCTCGTTTCTTGGAGTTCCCAAAAGATGTCAGGAAAGGCAGGGTTAAGCCAACCTCTTTCAGCATGAAGCCCTGATTCCTGATTGTTGGAACCACCTCCTGTTGCTTTCTCAGGCAGCCAAGGTCTGGCTGCCCAAATCGACGTGTCTTGTTTTGCGGGTACCCTTTTCAGGTTGGTTTAAACGGAGAACCAAAAGGAAACCATTGCCCACTTTGAATTGGAGGTCCAAAATATGCCTATTTTGCGACACAGGAAAGCAGACCACACACAAACACATGCCATTTCAACCTGTGTTCAGCCATTTTCGGAAATCCCCCCCAAAAAACTTGGATTTTGGGGCCCACAGTCAACCCCTCCGCTCTGCTCGCTCTGTATCTCGATCCCGTCAGACGACAAGTCCCTCTTCGCCTACAACGGCTCCGGCACGGTGCCGCCCTGCGGGACTTCCGCTGGCTGTCGCGTGGCGTGGGCAACGAGCGAAGCGGCCGTTCTGTATGTGTGATTGATCTAGGTTTTTGAGCTAGGTGCCCTTTTACCAGCTTTTTTAGGGGAGGGTTCCCCTACTAAAGACTACACAAGAAAGGGTATCCTTATTCCAACCTCTCTGGAGGACCTAGTGATGCATTGTGAATTTCTGGGGCGAACTTCGCCTCAAAAATGAAGAGGGCCAAATGGGTCAACTCGCAGCATTTGGTTTCTATATTTTCTCCTTTGCAATTCGGGAGAGCCGACCGCCGGAAGGGAACCGAAGCTCCAGCTAAAGTCTGCCGTATCCTCGCTTCGTCTAGCCTGCCGGCAAAGATCGGTCTTTCAGTATTTCGCTTTGTGGTATTCTGTTCTGCTTTTTTGGCTGCTCGAATGAATGCACCCAAATGACACCTTAGCAAATGGAACCAAAATTTTGAGCCACCGCCATTTCCCATTGTCTTGAAGACAACACTTCCCCGTTACCGGGAAGCTGGGCAACTCAGGAGAAGAAGACGTCGTGTGGCGCAACATGCGGGTTGTTCAAACACGGGATGCTTGGTTGTTTCCTTTTCGTGGCGTTCAGACAGAAAACAAAGGGCAGCGGTGGTTCTTGAACCTTTCCCCCCCCCCCCCACTCGCACGCGCCTTAGTCGAAACACTTCTTGAGTTGGGCTTGACACTGGTCACGGACGCATAGAAATTTCTTTCAGACTCAATGAGGATACCACTCTTCGTTGGAGCCGTGGCCAAAACGACCATGGCACACATAGGTGTGTCTTTTTGTTGAAGATAATTACCTGGAGTCTCCATGACCCTGTAAAAGTGGGTCCATGAACCCATTCTTTTGGGTAATGACCAACCATTTTTGAAGGGTCATGGAGACTCCAGGTACCCCTTTGTTGGTGGTTTTAAAGGAACACCATTATCTTGTGTCCGGCGAACGGAAAGGAGGCACTGACTCACAGGGATGGCACGCAGGACGGATGCCATTTGGATGGTCTTCAAGGAGCCCCTCTGGATCAGCCGCGCCCAGCGGGACTTGTACCGCCAGGCGAGTCGCCGAGTCGCGCATTCGGTCGGGTCGAAGCGATCGGGGCGAAGCGCTGGGCGTTTTCTCGGGCCTTCGACACGGGGCAGCCCGCGGCGCTGGGCGTTTGCACCGGCTTTTTGGGCAGCATGCAGAATTCCCAGCAAATGAAGGTGGCACTAACTAACGGAAGGGCTCCAGCTTTTTGACCAAAGTTGGCCAGGGCCAGTGCACGTCACGCTGAACTTCTTTTGTGCTCATGTTCGCACTGCGCGCCTTGTTGGTTTGTACCGTACTTTTTTGCAGTCTTGACGAACTTCATGTTGTTTGTGTGCGGGGGTTGCACTGAATTTGCTTTAAGATTCATTGGGGCTGCCTCGGAAACAGATTCCCTTGCTGTAATGCCAGGCCGAGTTGGCCTCGAACGTCGCTTTTGGGGCGAGCACAGCGAGCCCCCGACTGGCTGTTAGGGATGGGTAAAGGTTCAGCAAAAGAGCAGAGAGGTTTCCAGCCACCAGCCAGCTAAACGTGTGTGTGTGTGTGTGTTTCTTCGAGGGTAGTACCCTTTTTTGGGGTTAGTTTGAAAGGGAAGCCAAAAGGACACCGATCATTTTGGGGGTCCCACTTTGCCATGACATACCCATTTAACATCTAAAGGGGGTCTTGGGACCCTAAGGGGTTTCAAGCTTAGCTGCACCGCCCATGGCTTGGTTTCACCGGGTACGCCCGCAAGACGACTATTCAGGGAAACCAACTAGCAGGGATACAGGGAACCCGAACTAGGGATGCGGGAGGGTTCCCCCGTGTGATGCACCTTGACTTCAAGTTTGATAGGAAATGGCCCTAAGTTGGAATCCCCCCATATTTCCGCTCCCTCCGTATCCCCGCTTGTTCGCTTGTCCAAACGACTTCCTCATTCACTTGAGGCGGGGTTCCATATCATTCTTCGGTCCCGGAGTCTTGCCGTTGGTTTCCCTTGTCCATTAGGAACATCCGGGTCGAAGTGCTTCATTTGTCGGCTCCCGCAAACCCCGAACGATTTATGTCTCTCCGGTACCCGTTTCCCTATTGGTTTGTTTCTTCCCGCATAACATCCTGGCTTTTCGAGTGGCCCATGCACCTGAATATTTGTGTAACGTAGCCAGCCATTTGGTTCTAAAAAGGGTGGCAAGCCCCTTGGCTACCCCTCAAAGCAGCTAAATGGATCCACTGGTTGTCCCATAAATCGAACCCCAGGCCTTGAACGCGAGCTCGAGCCCTTCGGCCTTCCTGCGCTTCGGGCCTCCTCCGCAAGGAGAACGAAGTTTTGGCGTGGGGGGAAAAGATTTGTTTTTTTGTTCCATTTGGTTAAGAATATGTTTTTTCTTCTCATGTTGGTTTTAAAGGGAATCAATCACTACTGGACATATTTTTCCTTGGGCTACCTGGAGTCTCCTTCTGACCCTTCAAAAATGGTTGGTCAGTACCCCAGGTACTACTTTTGGGGCTTGGTGAAAAGTGGTTGGTCATGTTTTGGGTGCTAAGGTTGGCTTAAAGGGTTTCGGCAACAGGAAACCGAAGGTCTCCCGTATGTCATGAAGCACGCTGGTCCAGCCATGAAGGTCCTTTGCCGGGGGAGCTCCCTGGTTTGCAGTTTGGAAATGGTAATCTGCCTAGATAGGTGTGGCATCGGACTTTGGGCATTCCTTTTTTGAGCTGATATCCTTTTTGGATTTCGTTTGCAAGGAGGAAGGAAAGCCGCGGCGGGAAAACGAGCTTCCCCATGAAGCAGTCTCTCTTTTGGGATTCCTTGATTTGGGTTGGTGGAACACAACCATGTTTGCCGCTGTATATGCGCGTGTGTTGTATGTGTGTGTGTGCGCGTTGTGTGTGTGTGTGTGCAATTCGAGAAGCAGTTCAGAGAAGACTCCTCTACAGATGGGCGCACTTTGGGTTACATCGTTGGGGGAGGGACGAGGCGTGGGGAGGACCATTCCAACTTCCCCTGGCCCACATGACATGCAGAAGTTCAACAGGCTACCGGAACTTGGAACCAAAACCCGGCACCTGCAACAGAAGTTCTTGAATCGAGGCTCGAAACCTGAAGAGTTTACCCCCAGAGGTGTGCACTGTCACCCGTCTGCCTGTTTTTCCATAGCGAACGCGTGGTCTGGAGAACTTAACTTGAAACAAGTCTATTGAGTGTGGAGAACCTGTTTTAGCGGGCTCGCCCAGTGAAAGACAAGCTTGCTAGGAAGATGTGTCTGGCACCCGGATCTCGCTTTTCAGGTTGAACATCGTGGAACTGTTGGTGGCGAAAATGGGTGTCTGTGAAGCTGTCGGTTTTTCTCCAGGAGTGGTGCAGCCTTGGAGCACGGAGCTGGGCATGAATAACAGGCCCTTGGTTTGGCGCGACGAGAAAAACACCCAGGGGAAGTGAAGGTGAAGGACAGTCCCAACCACGAACAGGTGCCACCCTCTTGATTCTTTGGTTTGGCTAGACCATTTTGATACCAACGTTTTGATTGTGACTCACTTGAGGCGTGTGTGTGTGTGTGTGTGTCTGTTTGGTTTGAGTGTTTATTGGTAGTTTAAATGGGAATCACAAAGAACACCACTATTTTGGGGCGGATGGGGGGGGGCTTTTTTGACAACCCACATCATCTCGGACAAATCAAAGTCCCCTTGTGGACTAGATGGTGGGAGCGACCACGTCAACAAGTCACCAGCGGGGCCGTTGGCAGTTTGCAATCTGATTCGTGCTTGACGGGGTGCCTGGCAGACTTGGTGGGTTCCACGATGCGAAATGATGGCATCGCATCACTTTGTGTTGTCCAAGCGGGCGAGCTCCCAACTAGGTCACTCAGTTGCCCAATGAGAGAGTGGACTCACCATTCATACATCTTGAGAGGGACATTGTGGTGTCTCATTCTTGGGCCTCATTTGAAGATACGCAAGGGCGTGGGAACATTCACGCAAGGGTTTTGCTCTCCGCATTGCAGGCGCAGAGAGCCAGCGAGACAGACTGGACGCATTGTTGTCTCCAGCATGTTGCTTCGAGGGCGCAGAGTTCCTTGGAGACATTGGACGAGCTACCTGCATGGCTTGGTGTTCGACTTTCAAAAGCTTTGGGAACTAGCTACAAATAAACACAACACACAAGCAACATCCAGATCCGGTTCTTATTTTGCGTGGTATGGCATGTGTGTGTGTGCTTTTGTGGGGGGGTTGGGGGGAGGGAATAAGCAGCAGATGCATTGCATACTCAGGAGCAAGGCAGCAGAGGGGAGGGTTCCAAGCCCAAGGCCACCCATAGGGTGCATCGAATCCAAGCGTCGGGCTGCCATTGCCAGGATTCTGCAGCCTCAAGGGAGCAGACAGGCCGGGTACAGATTGCCCACAGGTCGGACGCTTGAAGCTTTTTGCGCGGCTTTCCTTGTGGAAGGACCCCGCTTGCGGGCATTCTTTTTTTTTGTGCGTGCGTGGTCCTTCTTTGGGGATGACACAATACCTCACTTCCTGAGTTCATGAACTTTAAACTTTTGGGGAAGACCATTTTGGTGGTAAATGTAAAGTTTGGACTTTTTTTGGGCCATCCACTCAGCCAGTGAGATACAGGACTTGGTTTAGTCCGAGCCGCAAGAGTCACAAGCGAACCTTTGTATCAAAGGAATCTATGAAAGGCTGCGCGAGGAATCACTCGAGGTGACCGTTTTGGAGGCCCAGAGTTGGCTCCCGCTTCTTTAGGGGACCCCTCCCAAATTGGTAGTTGTCCTTTGCGTTCCTTTAAACACATAAAGAAGAAACACAAACAAAAGGTACCCTCAAACAAAGACACATCCATATAGAAACCAGGAGCAACCACATGCCGTTTCGTCCTCGAGTCACTTCCAGCCAGGGTTCAGGTCGTTGACACGACGCTTTGGGAAGGTGTGGAAACCTCTCGAGACCATGTTTCAAGAGAAGCACGCCTGACCTCTTTTAAGTTGGGGAGGTATTACAGGTTTAACCTTTATTTGGTTGGTCAGGGGCCTTTTTTTTTCCGGGGGAGGGGGTCCATATCCAGTTTTGCGTGACACACACACACACACAGCCATTCGTGGCCGTTTGCCGCGAGATCATGTACTTCGAGATGTCCAACGTCCCTGCGAAGCGCTGCGCTCAGTTACGAGCCAACGTTGCAAAGCTTAGCCCCAGGATGAAGTGAGTAACAATCAGTTAGCACCAAAGGACAACCAAGGGAACACCACCCATTTGGGTGTTCCCCTATTTTGAGACAAACCCATGTGCCTACGTAAGGGATGACCCCCATTGTTGCGCGTATCGATGTCATGGAACTCCATAGCGCACCCATTCCCTGATAATCTTCAAACGTGCAGTAACTGTGCCTACTGTGCCTATTGGTTGGGTATGCCAACTGATTTCCACTCATTACACCCCTTCAGGATTTGGGAACTCAGGGCAGTCGGGCAGCCACGGAATGAAAGCCAACCGTGGGTTGATGGTGTTCCTATTGCACAGTCCCGGTGGATGCCAGCTGTTTCTCTCCCGATAAGCTAAGCTCCTTCTTGTCCATTTCAAAGTTTACCACCCTAGAAGCACACCATAAGGCAGCTCCCATGTTTGGAAATTAGAGGCTGTGAAACAATACAGTACATATCATCACTGCAAATGGTGCTGGGCTAGTGGGCGAAGGGCGAAGAGTCTGAGTGTAAATGTGGAGGAAGCTTATGTTGGGCCGGCCCAAGCCATGTAGTCTGTTCGCCATGGCCAAGACTCCTGGCTGAGATGAGGAAACTTTGCCCCACTTACAGTCTCATAGGGAACCAACGGGATACGGCAATGAAACATACCTGGTTAGTACTTTGGAGACACACTATGCCGATTGTTTCTCACAGACTCTCTTTTCTCAAACACACATACCCCAAATACATATCCCTTGTATGTTTTTATGTTTTTGTTTGTAGAAATCATGAGGCTGGTTAGGAGAGTAGCCCGGAGCCATGGACAAAGAAAGGTCAGGTTATAGCCAAGAACCCACAAAAAGCAATACCCTGGACCACCAGGTTGCAAACTAGACCCAAAGCTCATCATACCCCTTCCCTGCCCCTGCCCCCCCCCCTTCCCCCGCCCCCCGGTCCCCCCAGCGAACGGACACCAAGCGCTTCAGCGATCTTTGAGGTCCTCCTTCGACTTCACCAAGGGCCACTTCTGGGCTCGGAGACCCCGACACGGGCGAAACGGGCGAAACGGGCTTCGGCTTCATGGCGGGTTTCCTTCCAACCAATGGTCCCACTTCGAGCTGGTGCTTGGAGGTCGAAAGCCATCCAATGAAACACGTCGGTCTCAAGAAAATGGCGACTATGGCCCATGGCCCAAGATGGAAGCCCCAGAGTTGGACTTGGAGTCGATTCTCTGGGGATCGACCCTGGGGTCATCCTCCTTTCGCCGTTTGTTCCACGCAGCGATTTATTTATTTTTTGGGGGGGAAGAAAGAGAAGGCCCCCCAAAACAAACAAATCAGTGGGGCGTGCCTCGAAAAATGGAGGCGGAGAGGCGTTGTACGTCGTTTGGTGTCAACCTGTAAAACTTATTCAACAGCGACTCAGACAGTTGAGTAGCCGTTTTTTTTTTTTTTTTTTAAATATATATATATATATGGAGGGGGGGTGTTGCGATTTGTTTGCTCTCCGCTTTTGGGGGGGGAATAATCTATCCATCAAAAACGAAGTGGCTGATGGGTCCCAGGATTCGGCTTCGTTCATTTGAAGCCCAGGAAGTCAGCTGGATGTGGAGGTCCATTTTGATCCTTCTCCCCGAAAGTGACGGAGACCCAATTGAATCCTCCGGTTCATTACCTTCCAACTGTTTTTTTTTTTTCAGGGGACAGCCTGGGTTCAAACCATCGCACTCGCAAGTTTCAACGAATCAAATTCCCCGGAAATGGACAGATCAGATCTCGGAGCCGTCGAAGCTCCCGGCGGGTTGCAAGCCACGAGCCGGGAGCTGCGAAAGGAAGCAACTCTTGCGATCGCGATAGGGAATGAGGGATTGAACTCAGGCTTTGGGCCCCTAGGAAACAATGGATGGTTTATAGGGGGTCATGTTCTCATTCCCTGCCTAGCGCACCAAGTAGTGCACCGAATCGCAACAAACATCGGCAGGGTTGCCAGGTTTGCCATGGGCGTGAAAGATGGACAATGGGCATGTTGCAGTAGGGGAGGTACTGTGATCACAAACGCAACCCAACAAGGCTGAAAGATAAATATCTGACCTCTGGATTCCATTTTCCTGTCTAGTATGTACGCATATAAACCACCCTTTAAGCAACTAACAGAACAAATCACTGGTTGCTTGCTAAAGTGGCAACTGTGATCCACCTGGTGATATTCTATGACCAGCTGACGTTTTGCTTTGTTTCCATACTTGGATATCAAGCCTCAAGCCCATCCATTTTGAAAGGGATCTGAATTGCGAAGATCTGAAGGTGATGGGGGCTGCGCGCGGGAAGGAGGGAGCTTAAACAAGCCCGAGATAGGGCTTAATACGGGCTTCTTTGGGCTCCCTCCCCCCTCCCTCCCCCCCAGCCCCCATGATAAGAGGAGCCAGAGGCAAGGATGCCCCGTACCCCGTTTATCCGCATGGAACATGAAGCAAATTCAAAAGATGAGGCCACATGACGTTCTGGCATGCCCGTAGCAAAGGGATGGCATTGGGAAAGAACTCCTTCAGGAAATGAGGGGGGCGGCTGGCTACTCATGTCCGAAATGGGGCCACTCACCTCTAGTGTCAGATTTTTTTTTGGGGGGGGGCGTGCATCTTGTTTTCCATAGCTGCATGGCTCAACTCTCTGCTTTGGGCATGGCGGGAAGTCCGTCTTTTAGAACCTTCCTTGATACCAAGGGAATCCCCCGTTGCAGGGATAAAGTAGCCATGGTTCATTCCGGCATCACAGAAAGTTTTTTTTCCATAGCCACAGTCACTCCCAGTTGCTGGCATCCCGTAGAAAATGTCTACTTCGAGTTTCCATGGCCCTTCAACATGGTGTCATCGATGGTGTTATTCCATTTTGAAAGGGTCAGAAGCAAAATCCAGGTTACCCAAAATAGTCAAAATTACACCAGGAATTGCACCGCAGGTTTTGTTTCGTCCATGTTTCCATTTACCGATCGGGGGCAAGCAAGCCATGTGACCCGATTTTTTGACCGTCCCCGCCCTCCAAGGGCTTCCTGGGCATCGGCCTGCTGCTGTTCTCCGTGGTCATCGGCCCGGAACTTGGAGCCTTCAGCCGCGCCAAAGGGCGCGGCGGGGTCTTTCCAAGAAAAAGCCGTCGCCAGAAATGCCGACACCAACAAACAAAAAGGCAGGAGGGGCAGGAGGGGGACATCTTCCCAAAAATGGGGAGACGCTCAAACATGGGGAACATTTCGGGTCAACCCGAGGTTGATTGATCTGAAGGGAAGTCAAGGAGGGGATCGGGCTCGATTTGGAGGGGGGGGGTCTGTATCGAATTTAGACAGCCTGCGCGTGCTCAAGTGTGGCTGACCCATTTCAGTCAGACATCTCTAAAAGCAAATAGGCGCGTTTCGGAAGTCAGCGGAGGGAAAGTGATGGGAAACCAAGGGAACCATCCTTCAGCCCTTAGTAAAATGGCTGGTTACACTAGGTAACTGGGATCCACTGGGATATGGTACATGTTTTTTATTTAGAGGGCAGTCCTAACATGCCGCTGCGGGTCCATCCAGCCTCTCCCACGAGCTTTGCCAAGTTGATCGGGAGAACTCGGCGGAAAACGAGGTGCATGTTTGAGGGGAGGCATTCTTTTTTCATTTTGGGCTCGCTCTCAAGCCAACCTGAAAGGGGTAGCCAGAGAAAGACAGATTCCCGAACAGAGGTACATGTCAGGGGAGGCTTAGGCAAACCGGCTCGCTCTGAGGACTTTGCGCGCTATGCTGCCTTTTGTGCGGAGCTGCTTGGATTGGATCTGTGCGAAACGGTCGTTGGTTTCCAGGTCTCACTTGCCCAAGCCGACCTTTCAACCTGTTGGTTTCCCTGATCGGTCCATATCTAGTCGTTTTTAGTCGCGGCCCCAAACGGTTCACCCTGTATTTCGAGCTCCTGTGGGCAAGTGAGTCGTTTGGTCACGGACTCAACCCAAGTGGCTGTATGTTAATTGCTAACCCCTCTTGATTTCCTACTCAGAAATAGCAGATTAGAACACCTTCAGTGCTTTGTGGCTGCATATATCCCATTATATCCCCGTTGGAATGATGCCTACGAAAGAGGTCCCCAATTGAGCTGGGGGTCCCCCCGGACAACTAGCCGACTAGCGGCAGATGATGCACCACACCAACTGCTGAAATGGTCATAAATGGTCTGCCAGAAAGAGTGGACGAGCCAAAAAAGCACCCAGTGATGAACTCGATCTCGATGAACTGTTGATTCCTTGCGAATGGATTGCCCATGTGCAACATACATGGAGAACTCCTGGTCGTTCTTGACACACTGCGGACGCCTCCATTGCGAGGAAGACCCTGGGGATGGTTTTTTCCAGTGAAATGACCCAAAGGCAAAGGGTCGAAATGCCTTTGCCATGAGAAACCAAGGATTCAAGGCTTTCCTTGGGTTGGTTTTGATGGGAACTCAGATAGAAGCCACCCACTTGGAGATCGCATAGTGTTGATCACTTACTCTTTGATCCAAGGATCCCAGGATGGCTGCCATGAGAAGACTGGAGCTTCTTTTCAGATGGTTCGATGGGTGTTGGAATGAACCAATTGGATGCCCAAACAACCAGTCTGTGATGGGTGGGGATCAATTTTGGAGTTGGAATCAATTGTGGGTTGGAATGAACCAATGGATCCTCTACAAAACCACCGGTCTGTCAGTTGGATAGTTCAGTGCGGTGTCTTTCCAGGTCATTTCCCGAGAACGGTGACGCAGAAGGTGCCTGGAGTCTCCTGAATCAAGCATGGGGTGACCCCTGATTCTTGGTAGACGACCCCGTTGTTTAAGGTGTCATTGGAGACTCCAGGTCCATCATTACAGGACGCGAGAGCACTCATGTTTCGATTCTGCACGCAGAATCGGAGCTGTTTCGGGCAAGTTCTTGTGGGTGCCAAAAAGCCCAAGTTGGCATTTGCCTGGTCTGAAGGTCTCTAGCTGTTGGGGAAGCCCAAACGAGAAGTGCTGGAAACCAAATCGGCTTCGCCTGACATCATGTTGTATGTGTCCACATTTGAAGAGTCTTGTCTCCACTGCTCAAAACTTGTAGGAGGATGTGTCTTTTCGCCCGGAGCCTCCGTGACCCGAATCAAAAATGGGGTGATCCCTTATCTTTGGAAGAACAAGAAGACTAAGAAAAACACATCCCTTGTAGAAATCCCAACCTCCCAGAAAGTACCTTTCTGTTTTTTTGATGACCCCTGTTCGTCTCTTGACATCCACCCGCCTTAGGCGAAGCGCTCGGTGCGCACCAAGGAGCAGCAAGCCGCAAGCCGTCGGGTTGGTCTTCGGTCGTGCGTGAAGGAATGGGGCTGGGACGGCCGCCAAAAGATGGTGCGGATGTCCGTTTTGTTATCCTTACCCCCTATGGGTATGAGCTTCTCTTTTGTCGGCTCTCGTGAGAGGACATCATTTGAATGGGGAGTGATCTTTACCAACCACTTTTGATAGGGTCTCCCATGAAACATCGTAACCAAATGGAACCCTAAATGGGATATGGTCAGCCATCAATCTGTTTTGGGTCCCCGAGGCAAACACGCCAAAGGTGTTTTTGCAGGCGCCCTTGCCTGCGAGGAGATGATTTACGCTGAGAGCGACGAGGCGTACGCGGCTGGGCTGTGCAGTGACGGAGCTAGTGATCGCAACTAGTTGAAGTGTTTGTGTATATATGGCTGTGGGTCAAAGCCGTTTTGGTACCATTTTGGGGTAGGTGCACCTCCCATTTTTAGTTTATTTCATTGGGATTGGGATGTTCACTGGGGGTACGGGATTTTGACCCATGGCCATATGTTTGCACAAATTTGCTTTTGGTGACCTTGCGACTTGTAAGTAAAGAACACACCACGTCAACCCCCTAGCCAACCTGCATGCTAACATCAATGAATCAACCCCTTAGCCATCCTAACCGACCTGTAGCATCATATGCCCGTCAACCCCAATATCATTAGTTTCCTGCATTTTATTGCAAACCATGCGCTGAGGCCTTTTTTCCTTGTTTGGGTGAGGCCTGTGGTTCATGTTCAATCTTTGAAACAAAGAAACCACAGGGGATCGGTTTGAGTGTGTCTCATAGGCAAGACCCCAAATTTTGCTTTTTCTTTTTTGTTTGGTTTCCCTTCCAAACCCAGCAGAAAAGGTACCCTCAAACAACGCGCCATGCAACTTTTCTGTTTGCCAAGCAGGAGTCGACTGCCGCTTCTATGTTTTATGGACACGAGACTCACCGAAAGGATATGAAACCGCAATTTTGTTTTTTTTTTGTTTGAGGGGGGAGAAGGTGGGAAATATCCGCTTTTTCTATGGTGCATTGTCAAGCCCTGACAACAACGTGGCCGGTAATGGAATTCGAAGCCTGTGGGGTAACCAAGAAATGGCAGTGATGTTCGTGATGTAGTAGTCAAGAATCTATCTAGTTTGTTTCCATTGGTTTGGAGGTGGGCCTTTTTATGTATGTGTTTGTGTGTTTCTCAAAATCAGGGGACCCCAGGAGGTTGGTGTTTATGTCGTCCTTTGTGCCAAAAAGGGCTCCCTTTTAAGAGGCAGAAAGAAACATCGAAGACCCATTTGCTCCTTCAAAAAACGTTCAACGTACAAAGCACCCATTCTAGTTCACTGCCTTTCTCACTTCCTGAATTCCCGGACTTGCTTCTTGGCTCTTACCTGCATTTCCAAGAAGTCTGACAGGTCTTGGCCCAAGCCACTTCAGGGGCTCTTGGTGTGACCATGTCAGTGGGAAACAAAACCACCAAGCCTTCGGCAAACAAAACCATGTTGGAGCGGGTCCGCAGGTACGGGTTCTACTTGTGTGGATCTGTCAGTACAAACTTAGCTCTCACAGGGCTCCCCATGGTTCCCCTTGAAACATCACCCCCACCAAGGGACCCACCATTTTAGTGGCGCTCTCAAGAAGTTTGGACTGGCCCAAGGGGCTCCCAAGAAGTGAGAGCTGCCTTTCGTCTCGGCCAGGACCGGCAGCCCCTGCGCGGCGCCGGCAACATGCCCGGGGCGCCCAGCGATAGAGGAGGCGAATGTGCGCCTTCGGAAAGTTGAGGCAACGCCAAGCAACGGGGCAACTTGATGCATTTGGGTGTGTGCAATTTTCTGGGGACCAAGCAACAAAAAAGGGCAACTTCAATGCATTTGGGCTCTTTATTTTAGAAGTCCCCCGGAAAGTGGTGGGGCTTTCCGTTTGGGTTCCCTTTAAAACCAACCAAAAGGGGGTACCCACAGAAAAAGGCACTCCTTGAAAATCGCCTTCCCTATGGTCGGGTTCCTTTTTGTGTCCCTTGTGACACCGAGAGAGGATGGCATGCCGCTGTTAGAATCTAGTTTTCATTGGGGCAGCAAACGCGTCACTATTAAACTGGCTGATTTCGAGGGCCTTGCAAATTAGGTGCTGGGATATATCCCATGCCACGTGTTTTTCCAGGCTCGAGTCCAAGTTTCGGGGCTTCGGTTTCCTGGGCGAAGCGACCTAACGTTTGGGGTGTAACTTGGCCCATGTCTCGCTCTTTTTTGGGGGTTTTGATTGGGCGTGTCCTTTGTCAAAAAGCGCCCAAAATGGTGATTTCCGAGTTTCCCTCGTGGAGCCCTTCAAAGAAGACAGACCCAAATCAAGGTTTGCATAGGGAATCACCTTGCCACCCTGTCCATTTGCGACAAGTTTGCAAAAGAGAAGGTTTGCCCGAAAGACGCGACCGAACAGTCCTGGAAATACCCGATTTTTGCCGGTTCCATGTCAATCCGCAGGAGTGTAAGTGATACACGCAACTGGTTGTACGACACTAATCGCAATACAATTCACGTGGCATCCTATCTTCAACTGGGATCAAGGGCAGTTTTTGGGGAAATGCATCAAGTCTGGTGCGGTTGAAAATCAGAAGGACGAACAGGACCACATAGCTCGACCATTTCTTTTTGCGAAACGTGTCACCTGTGAGCCCCAAAACAACCTGGACTCAATGTTTCTGGCTCCACCCATAGAGCAAATGCATCTGCATGTCCGGAGGGTCAGCATAGGGCCTTCATCGCGATTTGGAAACAGATCTTGGATTGAGAACTTGCTGGTTAAAGCAGCTGGGATTTGCCGAATTGGACCCGCAACAAGCAAACCATGTTTTGCAGAGCCGTGACAGCCACGAAGCATACTGCATGGAGTTGTCTTCGTGACCTGGGAATGGATTCGATCGAGTTCCCCACGGCCAAAGGAGCTCGATGGTCTCCAGAGCCAAGAAAGGCACAGACAATTTGCACCAGCCCGGAAGCAGGACAGTGATCTCTTTTTGGAGGGCCCCCTTGGGTTGATATAAAGGGAAACTGCGGGGAAGCCACCCATTATGGTGGTTCCTCCGTTTCGGCTTGTGTCAAAATAGGGAAGCCCATGGGCGATGTTCCTTTCGGCTCCCCTTTTTTCACCAAGCCCATCAAGTGTGGCGTTTTTACACTCCCATTTATAGACAAGCCGAGTCAATCGCACCATAAGGTCTCTATTTGCCCCAGACGCCTCGAGTTTTTGTTGCCCCTACGCACCTTTGCTCATGGAGCTTCCCGCAGTTCTCCGGGCCATGAACTTGGTTTCCTCGAATTCGCAGTGGCAAAGTCAGGGTAGCAATGTGAAACTTTGTGAAACACCACGTGCTTTGGCACCAGTGCAGCTACGAAGCACGATAGGAACAGCAGGTAGGAGACATTAAGAAGCTCGGTTGTCAACTCGAAAACTCGACGGGTCCATATGTTGCAGAACAAGAAAATAGTATGTGCATATTAATAATATATATAATATGTATATTAATATATATATATATATATATGCAGGTGCGAATACATACACATTGACATATTAGCATGAGGTTGTGGACTTGTGGAGAAAGTCGCACCCGGGTGCCGGCTGTGAGGTTTCCCCAGCCATCGCCGTTGCCTGAGACAGCTGTGCTCCGTGTGGTCAAAAGACGGGTTCCTTTGCTTGGGCGTTGACAGGGATTTCGTCCTCCACCTGGTAGTTAGGATCCATTTGGTGAAGAATATTCAAAAAACCGTTGGTTTTAAAGGGAATCGATTTCACTAATTACTGGATTTTTTTGTTCCAGGGGACTTGAGCAAATGGAGGGTTAGGATCCTCAATCTTTCTGATTTTCGAGTTCGGGTTTTTTTGTTCACTGCCTTCAAGGGGCACCGTCTTTGAAATGGGGGCCATTTCTTTGTGAACAACTTTCAGCGTTTGGGCAATGCAAGTGGCTCAACCCCAACAGACATAAATCTAACTTGATTGGCTTCAAAGCACCCCGCGACCCTAGTCCACTGGTTAGGCGCTGGTAGAGCCCTTCACCGGTTTGCGTGTTTGACCCAGATCCCCTTCTGCACTTTGGGACTCTCAGGATGCAGCACGTGCACCCGCAAGTGCAGCTTTGGCAAGGCCAAGCCCAAGGCCAAGGCTCGCATTTGGTTCGGTTTGCAGTGAGGTGTTTCCCGCCGATGTTCGGATGTCATGGCGGCGTTTTTTGGGGGGGAGGGAGGGGAGTGGGAGGGAGCCCAAATAAGCCCTAACTAAATAAGGCCTCAATCAGGGCTTATTTGGGTCCCCCCACCTTCCTCCCCCCCAGGCCCCATGACGATGCATTCCCCTCGAAATGGTCTCCTGTTGAGGCAGCCTTTGGCTTTACTCCCTATGGATGGATCTCGGCCTCAGATATATTGATTGTGTGCTTTTAGTCCCTTTTGTCCTTTGGTGTTTTGAACAAACACAGATTCCTCAGCAAATGGTTCCCACTCCACCAACTGGATACTGTAAGGGCCATGAGTCTGAATTGAATTGGTGGAATGGAGTTACTCTAAAACTAGCTTCAATCCTAAGGGGGAACTCAAAGAGCTGGTTAAGGGGAACTCCAAGGGACACGACTTGAGGGGTTCCCCTCCAGGAGAAGCCCAGGCACCCAAACGGCTTTCGAATCGGGCAACTCGCAGGCATGATGACGCGGCCGCAGATGGGCATGGGCAGACAGCCGCCCTTCGTTCCGCCAGAGCCTTGACCGAGTCTGACTGCCCGAAGCCTCAAATGAGCAGCGGTTTGTAATCAAATGAAAGGGTTTATACAAAAAGGGAACTGCATGTGTTTTGCGGAGGCAACCCTGGTTGGGGGTAGGCTCGCGTAGGCTTCAGCGCGTAGGCTGTTGTGTCACCCCGCGCGTAGGCTTTTCGCGTAGGCGTTTGTTGAATCATGACTGTTTGCCACGTATGAAGGAATTTGCTTCTTTTGCCTTCCTTCTGTTTGTTCTGCAGTCTTCGCGTAGGCTCCGCGTAGGCCCCGCGTAGGCATTCGCGTAGGCTTTCAAGGCATTTTGGGTACGTAGACCTTTTCTAGCAGCCAGATCCTTGGACAGATGTGAGATTCTCACTTGTACTACATTTCTGATCTTAGAGCCGGAGCTGCCAAAACTGCACTTGTACTGAAAAGTTGCGATTTTCCAGCTGGAGCTGCCACAGTGCACTTCGACACTTGAACTCAACATTTGCCCGCGTAGGCATCTGCGTAGGCACCTGGAAGCTGACTTGTGCTCGCGTAGGCACCCCTCGCAGGCCGCGTAGGCTTGCGTAGGCGTTCGCGTAGGCGTGCAAGTAGTGTATAGGCCCCGAACCACCAAAAAGAACACTGCTCAAATGGCTCCTGTTTGAAGGCTTTGGCTGTTGGATGAGTGAAGACGGATGGCACGGAAAAAAGGGAGCATGCCGAACCCGGTGGATCCATTTGCCTGGTGTTGTGGGTAACCACAAGAACCACTATTTAAGAACCAAAAGGACAATGGATCGAAGGACTACCCACTGGGCGACTGGGGCTCACGGAGTAGCACGATGACCACCTTTTCCTTGGTCCTGTGCGCTTCGCGTGTTTGGCACTCCGCAAGTTTTCTTTTCTGGCTGATTGATGCTTCCTTTTTTGTGCGGATAACTCGCTTGCCCAAGTCGAATCGATATTTTGACAATTTTGTTTTTTCCCTTAAGTCTATGTTTTTGCATGTTTCTTCCAGGTCCTTTGGGCAACTGAGACAAGATCACAGGGCTTGGTGGGGTCTGTCTTGCGCGCCTCACCATGCGTTGAGGCGGGTTGTTCAACTAGACCTATCCCGGGTTGGTCTTAGTATACAACATGGTTGATCATGAGACTTGTTCAGCGCGGTCAGTTCTGTGACCGCTGGCAATAATAAGGCGCTGAAGGCGATATCTGATATCATTCTTAGAGCAAGGACATACGTATTGTTCTGCAGAAATCGTACTAGCCTCAGCCACAGAGGAAAACACATTGGTAAGAGGGGCAGGGTCAACTGCTCCTCACCTGCTGGAAGAATAGTGTGTGTGCGTGTGTAAAAGTGTGTTTGTGCGTGCGCGGTATGCTTGTCCTTGTCAATCAAGGAGAGGCAGATGCAGCCAGTGCGCTGATGTCTGCGATGACAAGCTCTTCCAAACCTGACATGTAATCCCGACCTGGGCATGGTGTGGACCAATTTCCTTTCAACACGACCCCTATCTTCTAGTTCGATTGCAGGGGTTTTAATTTAGATCGACCATGAACTCCCCGAAAACATGCACCTGGAGTCTCCATGACCCTCTAAACATGGGTCCATGACCCCATTATTTTGGGTAACGACCAACCATCTTTGATTTGGGTCAGAAGGAGACTCCAGGCAGTTCCCATCGCAAGTTCCGAGTCTTTGGCTCTACCTAGAGTCTCCTTGACCCTTGAAAAATGGGGCCGTTAGACTAAATATTGGGGCCATGGACCTATTTTTAAAGGGTCGGAAGGAGACTCCAGGTAGCTCCCTGCTTGGCTTCCCCTTGATTCGAGCAAGGCCCAGGACGCAGCCAGCCTTCGGCGGCCGTCCCGGGACTTACGCCATGAATTATCGATAGCGCCGGGGCCCCGGGATGCGGAAAGAAAGCGCTGCGCGGCGCTTGGAGAGGGCGCCTGCGCGGCTGGAGACAGGCGAACTCAAGATGGAACGCGGCCCGGTGGATATATATATATATATATATATTATATTATATATATATTATACATAAATTATATATATATATATATGTGTTTACTTGTGTATATAGTAGGTAACCAAAACCTTGCCACCCTTAAAGATCCAGAAGGGAAATAGTTGGTTGCCTACGAAGAGCAACTGGGATTCACTGGGCAGGGCAACCCTACATTCATTGTTTTTTGGCAATTGGGGTCGGATAGTTGAAGGTTCGTGATTGGACATGACCCAGAACACAACGTCAGTTTTTGCGATACGCTCCGCTCGGCAGTACCATGGATTTCTCCCTTATGTCTTTTGGGGTTGTTCCCTTTGAGCCACCATGCTGGTGTCATTCTGGGATTCCTTCTTGATTTATCGGGTTCCTCTTGGCCCGCACCAACTTGAATGAATCCTCCTGGTGGATGAATCGATGCGCGTTTTTTTGCAGCCTCGATCACAGCCTATGAGGCACACTTTGCGTGTCGCAATCTTGAATTGGGAGGGGGAAGACACATGTCCGATGCCTGGCAAATACTTCATGGCATTCATACCCAGCATTATGCGATTTGTTTCATCATTCTCAACTCCGCTCTTACACCTCGACCTTGCTGGGTCCAAAGAGGCCAGGCCCCCAGAACCCCTTCTCAGAGTCTTTGGTTTCGTTGGGTGTGGCCGGGCCTTGAAAAATGTCTGACGGTCCGAATGGGAACTCAAAAGCACTTCTGCCTGGAGTCTCCAGATCTGACAGTTGAAAATCGGGGTGACCCCTTAGTTGTGGGTAGATGACCCCATTTCAGGGTCATGGAGACTCCAGGCAAACCATTTTCAAAGACTCTATCCCCGAAGAGACTGACGTGCATTGTGGGGTTCTTGGAATGCAGCTCGCTTCGGCCGGTTCAGGGTGCTGAGGGCGAAAGGCCGCGAATTCTCTGAGAAGCTGCTATCTGCAAGTTGAGCCGAGATCAAAACCCAGGTACTTGAAGGCTTAGGGGATAGTCCCCTGTGAAACAAATGCGCAAGGGGAGGCGGTTGATTCATATGACTTTGGCTAGACTCCTGAAAAAATATGCAGTTTTCCCTGCGGCAAAAAGAATCACCTGTGTTAGACTTACTCCGTCAGCCACACATGGAATGCCAACTATGTTGTTACTGCACTTCTTTCTTACCGGGTTTTGAATTAATGACTCAGGCCTGCTTCGTTGAGGCAGGTCATGCTGCCTGCTTCGAACCCGGGGATGGAGCAATTCGCGTGCCGAAAAGCAAAAAGCGAGACGGTTGCTCCAGGATGCTTCAGGAAGAGCAACAGGGCTCATGATGAAGGATTTCTTTCATGGGGATCCCTGATTTTTGTTTGGTGAAGAATACTTTGCGCACGCTGCTTGGAGCCATATGGTCCAGATGCAAACATCTCGCCTTTTTTTGGGCGCGGTTCCCTATTTTCCCCTCTTGATGGTTTGAACACCGAGTCTTCTGTGGGGTGATGCTGAAGGGGAAATATGGAGCCCAATGGAGATGGTCATCAGGCTAAGCAACCCATCATTGGCACTGCGAGCTTTAACAAAGTAGGAGATCCAGGGTTGTTCCGAGATAAAGGCCAGGGTAGAGTATCGGTTTGATTCCACCTGGGTGTCCCTATATTCGAGAATGCCATTCCCGCAACGTGATTTCGGAGCAGCCATGTCTCATTTTGATTTATGGGTTTCTAGATGCTTCTGAGACGCGACTTTGCGCGTTGTCTTTATGAATCCTGTGAACGAACGCGACTGCCAACATCATGCCCATGATGTCATGCCAATGATGCTTTGTACTTGGACCTGAGCAACAGTCAATATTTCTGGTCATCTATGTAGTAAAGAGGATGACATTGGTCACACTCACCAAGTTATCATTTGGAAATGGGAGTCACTCACCAAACTCCCATGTCAGCTGGGGACAGCAGCTCAAATTTGTCGCTCGCAATTGCCTGGAAGTGAGAACCAATAGTTTGTGTTTCTTGTGACAGACGGGGGGTACAGTGTTGGAATAATTGACTCATAGAATTTGCGAGGCTGTTGATTGGACAAGCAACATCCTGTTGCCCCGTAGGAATCCTTGCTGAGTGCGGGCGTGTTGGTGTTTTTGCCTCTATTTTACTTGGGTTTGGCTCACAATGGTTGCACAGGTTGTAGTCTTTGTGTCCATTTACCAAGGTGCCATGTTGGAAATTCCAATTGTTCAGCCACAGCCAGATGTTTGAGAATTTGTGCTGTGCAACCCTCACTCTGCACTCTTCCCGCCTCTCGGTAGCTCAGAGCTTGCTTAAGATACGGATTACTTATTTGAAAGCTTGCAGCAGCACCCAACCATGCCTATCGCACGTTATATGTCTATGTTATACAAATAAGATATGATACAATATATATATATACATATATATACATATATTTGTATGTGTTATATAATATGCATGCATCGCAGCTAGAGGCCTTGGCAAATCATTCCCCTTCAGAAGGCATCCAGGCCTCTGGTGTCCAAATTCCTCGCCATGAAGCTGGCAGCGCGGAGCTGGCCGGAGATGAACATCTGCATCCTGGCCCATGGAATGGGCGGCACGGAGAAGGCCAGGTGACTGCAAAATCCTCCATTTGGTTAAGAATATTTTTTTGTGTTTTGTTTATTTCCCCCTGTTGGTTTTAAGGGGAATGTATCACTACTGAAAATATTTTGTTTAGTTCCTGTTGGTTTGAAAGGGAACGTATCACTACTGGAAATATTGTTATTTGTTCCAAGGGACTTGAGCAAATGGTGCAAGATGAGTATGACTTTTTCACAAGGGACAGCTCCAAAGGCGTGTGGTTTCAACCTGTTTGAGTGTTCCTTAGAACCAGCCTGCAGGCGGAAGGCACCCCAAATGTGTGCATTCCAGCCCCAAATCCACCTGGCAGAGAATTCAAGAGTGTAACTTTAACGCACTACCTGAGTTCTTGGACTTTGTGTTGAGAAGAACATATATATATATATAGTGTCAATCCGCTAGCTTAGACATATGTCATATGTTGGCCAATCCACTTTTGAATGGAGTCAAACAACAGTTTACACCCCAGTGCTCCAATTACCACTATAAACAACAAGTATGTTTTACCTTCAGGTTTTACATGTTCCCCTGGTTAACCACACTACAGTAGTTCTAGGGGGTAATTCCCCAAACTTGTCAACCATCCTTCTTTTCAAACACCATTGTTTCCCTTGGTGTTTGATGGTTTGAAAAGAAGGATCTCTGGAACGAATTGGGAAGCTTCCCCTAGAAAGTGCACCAGATGCTTCGTCTTTGCTATGGGTACCTAGGGTCCCTCCGGAGAAAGCAGGAACACACATGAAACACATGAACAGCTAGTGGCTTGGTTGGAAGCCCTGGGCTGCTTCAGCCAGTCAAAAACGAATCTGGAAGGACTGGCAGACCTGGGTGGAGGTCCTCAGCAAGCTGTACCCGGACTGGAGCCTGCATCCACTGCAAAAACTGGCGCCAGGGTGTCGGTTTATGGGCAAGGACGTGAAGGAGCGCTTCACCTCTGTTGCCATCTTTTGCTTTTTTTCTTTCCCGCCCAGCTCGAGAAGGGTTTGTGAGTGTGTGTGTGTGTGTTTGTTTGTTTTTGTGTTTTTGTGTTTGTCTGTCTGTCTGTCTGTCTGTCTGTCTGTCTGTCTGTCTGTCTGTCTGTCTGTCTGTCTGTCTGTCTGTCTGTTTGTTTGTTTGTTTGTTTGTTTGTTTGTTTGTTTGTTTGTTTGTTTGTTTGTGTGTTTGTGTGTTTGTGTGCTTTGCCTTTCATACGACTGATAATCCTACTGCGGATGGCTTTATGGGGAGGCCAAAGGGAAACCTGCTCAAACTGGGGAGGCGGGCCCCCTACTTCACACTCATGTGCGACATGGTCAAACGTCCTTTCCTTTTTTGAGATAGCCATCAAGCCGTAGACAACCACGGCAAGGATTCCCTTAGATGGAACCATGACCATGGCACAAGAAAGCTCGTTTTGCCATGGCGCATGTGCTTTGTTTCCCTTTGCTTTGTCTTTCAAACGGCCCTACGGGTACCTTGAACAAGACGCCCCCTTGAAGCCTTAGACTGAGAGTTAGCTGGACAACTCATGCAGTGGATGGACAAACTCCACTTCGCACCAGTTGGGATGGATGAACCCCATTGAAAAACTGCGACAAATCAACTAGCAACAGGTGCGCGATTTCGTCCAGAATAATTCAAGTATATGGACAATCTGTATGGCGAACGGGACGGATCGCAGCCTTTTTCCGAAGACCCGCGCAGGCTATAGCTATGTTGGTGGAACCAACAAGTCGATGGGTTTCGGGCGCCGCTCATTCGGTGTGAAAAGTTGAGGCCCCTCTGTAGCTGGTTATTCAAAACTCTTTCAAAACGGTCCAGCTGGTGTTACAAACCCATGGCTTCCTCCCAACATCTGGTTGCAACATCTCTACCTGCTTCCTGTGCAAGCAAGCAGTGGACGAAGACAACATGGGTTTCCCTGGTCAAATATCCCCGAAAAGCGGACCAGCTCGTGTGCGTACCTGGGTCTGGCTTCTTTTGTGGGTACCCTTTTTGGTCTGGGTTTGAAGGGAAACCAAAGGTACTCCATTAACTTTGGGATTCCTTTAAGACAAGAAACCAGTTTTACCCTTGTTGGGTTTTGTGTAAAGGGAAGCCAATGAAAGCAGAGGTAAACCACTCATTTTGGGTGTTCTCTTCCAGAAAAGGAGAAACGGAAGGCACATCCCTTCCCATAGTTCCAGGAGCTCTCCTCTCTGGCGGCGGACGAGATCCTGGAGATTCTGGAGAAGCATCGGAGCCAGGCTTGGACCAGACAGACCGAGCGACAGCTCCAGCCGTTCGCTCGTTCGACCGGATGGAGTCGCTTGTCCCCTTCCATTTGCTTAAGTCCCCTGGAAAAAATGACATATTTCCAGTAGCGAAATCGATTCCCTTTAAAATCAACAAGGGAAAACAAACATAAACATATCCTAAGCTTTCTTGGTGGTTCCCAGCCATCCCAGCAGATTTTGAGCGGGGGATCTCCATTGAACCCACCAAAGTTAACCCTTTCGCGGGGGATAGGACAGCCCAGCTTTGCGGGTTTATATAAAAACAAAAGGAAAACAACCCAAATGTTGGGGTCACCCAAAAAAGATATCCAAATGGAATTCAGACACCCTGGTTGGTATTATTTGGCGCATTTTGCTTGGCTGTTAGGACTTTAACTTTTTGCCAACTAATTGGTTTTCCACTAAACCACTAAAAGTTAAACTTTTAGCAGGGGAGCAGAAAGCAACCGAGTATTGAAAGGGAATCCAAAAGGAAATCAGCCTGCTTCTCCGCCTTGCCTCTTTTTTTTTTTTCTCGGGGGGGGTGTGTTTCCAGCTTTGCAAATCCTCACGAGCCAGGTTTCTGGGTGTTTGGCATTTTGGCACGTCTTTCCTTTTGACCTGTGCTGAAGAAAGCGAGCGGCACAGAGCCTTGGTCTGTTCCCCGTGAAAGACTCGCTCGAACACACCGGAGCGAGGCTTCCTGGGACACCATTGCAACTTACTCTTTGATCCCTAAGAGTCCAGGCGCAGCCGCTTGCGTGACTTTCTTAAAGTCATTTAACCATTTAGTTGTGGCCAAAGTAGCACACTAGAACCTCCATGGATCTGTTGGGGATATGTTCAAGGCTACAGGACAATTACCACTGACAATTGCCGAAATGTCGACAAAAAACGTCAAAGCGGTCATGTGTTCTTCGGACACTTACTATCAAAGCCAGGATTCTTTGTATTCCATGTCATGCAGCGATTCCATGCGATTCCGCTGTATTGGCAGCATGTTGCTTCATGCACCAAGCCATCGCCTAACTTCCCACTACTGCTTCCTGAGCATGGGCCTGGATTCTTGCTTGAAGCTCATCTCTGGTTTCTTTTCGCTTGTACTTCTACCCCCATGGTTTTTGGACATATCTCAAAGGCTCGTACGGCCCAGTCTCGAGGCCAAACCCCCGGATGCAGCTCTCATGGGTGTTACTCACGGATCCGTTGGGGAATTCCAAGTGTTCTTTTCCTTTTCGACCGCCTCGCATTTAAGAAACCCCCCCAAAAAGTGGTTCAAACAGTACCCCTTCATGACCATCCATTTCCCAGAAATTGGGACCATGTTTGAAGAGAAGGATCCCTGAGAATGAGAGTGGAGTGTGTTTTCCTGGTTGGTTGGCAAAATTTGGTTTCCCCTGCCTGACCACCGGACAATCCCCTGCCTGACCACCGGACAATCCAAACCACCTTCTTCGATGGAATTCCCTTCAAAGCCACCCACATACCACCCCCCAAACAGGTGGTACCAACCCCCAAAAAGGCGGTGCCAACCCAGTACCAACTCCCAAAAAGGTGGTACCAAGCCCAACTTTTGTGGTTTCCCTCTGATTTTTTTCCCTTTTGCCTCGCAGATCCGAGTCCTCCGCTGCTCAGGAGCAGCATCTGGTGCTTCACTGCATCGGCCACTCCATGGGCGGCTTGATCCTCCGGGGAGCTTTGCCCAAGGTCCTCGAAGCCATCGACTCCATGGCGCCTCGCTGCGGAGAGCGGAGGGCGGAGGGCGGAGCGGTTTCTTTTTCCTTCTTTGGGGTGGATGGCTGCGTGTTTTTGTTCTTTTACGCATGGGGTGTGGATACAGTTGTTTTTTTTCCCATGGGGGGGGGTGCCATGGGTGAGTTTGTTCCCTTTTTCGGGTGGATGTTTTTGTTTTTTTTTTACAATGGAGGGTGGATGGCAGAAAGGTTTTTCCCATGATGGGGGGTGGATTGGCGGAAAGGTTTTTCCCATGGCCGCGGGTCTGGCAAAGACAGTCGACTGGATGAATCAACCGCAAGCGGATTAGCCGGGTTCTTCCCATGAAAAGGTGGATGGCTGCAGTTTGTTTTCCATGAATCAACCGCAAGTGGATAAGCCGAGTGGAACGTTAAGCGATGGATTGCGTCTACGCCCCAATCAACCTTGAAACGGGTTGATCAATCCCGGGCTTCGGGTGATTTAGCTGAACCCCTGCATAAAAATCATAGGGTGTCATCCATGCGCAGTGCTTAGACTTCCTGAAAAATGTCTTCCTGGTTTAGTGGCTCATGATTGCACGCGCCTCCGCCTGTCTACATCTTTACCTGGTTCTGGGCTACCATTGTGCTACCGATCGGTTTTGATTCACCAATCCAAGAACTGGCTGTGCAGCTTGCTGTGCGCCTCAGCCGTTTGACGTTCCCTGACCATGGCTAGCTGCTGACTTTGCCAACCGCCTGCTTCCGCTGCGATCCAAGAAATGTGGGTATATGCAGCAAGAAGAGGCCAACCGGAGGCTAAGTACGGCCTTCTTCCCCCCCGCCCCCTCGCCCCCCCCCCCCCCCGCCCAAAAAAAACCCAAGGAAGACAGAAAGAAGAGCCTCCCACACAAAGAAACCAGCGGAATTCTCCGCGCCGGAGCTCAGGAACTGGGGCATTATGTGTCCCTTTCTTCGCCGCACTTGGGCATCCAATCCACTTGGCTGCAGCCCTTCCATGCTTGGCGGAACCTCTGCTGGCTGCGGGGCCCCCGGCCGGATCGTTTCGGAGTCGCCGGAGAAAAACCACGAAACACGTAGTTAGTTCGTTTGATTTGGCCGGAGAATTAAACGAGAACAAAAACACCTGTGGCGCAGCTGGGTCCGTTTCGCGTTTCGGTGACATCTTCAAGATTAGGCGAGCCACATGGTGGTCCAAAGACTGCAGGCGTCCGGGAAAGCTGTACGTTCGATAATCTCGCGATCGCCTAGGGTTCATTTCCTCATTTTTTTCGGATACGGGGATTCAAGCTGAACTGGTCCTACAGCGAGCCACAGGGTTGATTTATCATTTTTTGTGCACTTGTGCAGTTTTTTTCTTCAACCCAAAACAACGTATCCGGTGCTCGGGCCTGAAACAATGAAGACCCACCTGCTAAGTCTTAGTTGGTTAAAATTGACCTTTTGACATTTTGTCTCTTTTTGGTAAAGGTCCCACAAGGTCAACTTGATAGAACAAGGTCCTGTGGGCAAGTGAGAGGTGGTCCTGTGGCGCCTCTGGTTGATTTTGGGGCGGGTTTCTCAGCACCGAGCGACAGCTGTATTTTTGCTCGACTGCGCAAGTCCCCGTGGGGAATCACGATTACAGCAACCCTGGATCAGCTGTCAAGGGAGAGAAGTCCTTGACCAAATCAGCTGCCAAGAAGAAGCAACAGGTGCAGAAGCATTTTGAGGCTAGTTTTTCTCTCTGCATTGGAGTTTTGCTAACTGCCGAAAATACACCCCACGCCCCTCCTCAAGCTCGACAGCTGAAGAACCGGATGTAGGAGGGGCTTGCCACGTCTACGGTCCTCTCACGTCTCACGGGGCTTGAGAGTGGCCTTGGGAGGTGCCCTTGCGCTTGTCAAGGCTTCATGTAATTACCCAGTTGCCCATTAAAATATTCCTATCTTCCCTTTATTTGGGAAGGGTTCCGATTCCTGTAAAGTTAACCAACCCAAAAAAGGATGCCGATTCGAAAGGGAAGCCAGAGGACACCGATCATTTTGGGGGTCCCACTTTGGCACACACCCGTGCATGTAGAGCACAAAAGAGACTCCAAATGTTTGGCTTGCACCCGTCGCCGTCCGCAGGAGCAGGGGCAGACCCGCAAAAAAGCATGATTCATGGCGGGTCTGTCCGACAAAAAAAAGGGTGTAGTTTTTCGAGGACTTGAGTTGGGTCAGGGGAACCAAAGGGAAATCCCACGATCTACGAGGCTCCAAACCCCTGTGGGTTTCTCAACATTGAAAAACCCCCTCCAGGTGGTTTCCTTTTGGTTTCCTTTTAAAATAACACCCTCGGAAAAGGGTTCCGATTCCTATTTTGAGACACCCGAATACATATATATATATATATATGCTATCCCCCCCCCCAAAGATCGACCATTTTCTGTGTTTTGAGAAAGATGCGGTACATTATTGCAAGAAACAGATGTGCATATGCTGGGGTCGACATTCAAGTGCAGTGTTGTTGAGGACGGTTGCAAAATTGCGCACCTGCCAGGGCTGCAATGCAAGGCTTTGCAAAACTGCAGCCCCTGGCAACCTGAAGTTTCAAAACTTCAAGAGTTTCCAAGACACTGCCCAAGCAAAGCTGCCAAACTACAGACCTGGCAAAGCAAGTCTGCTAAACTGCAGGCACTGCAGGCCTTGGTTGCCAAACAGACTTGGCAGGGCTGCAGCTCCAACACTGCAAGGCTTTGCAAAACTGCAACCCCTACCAACCTGCCAAAGCACTGCCCAAGCAAAGGTGCCAAACTACAGACCTGGCAAGGTTGCAAAATTGCCAACCTGCAAGTTTCCAACACTGCAAGACTTTCCAAGCAAGTCTGCTAAACTGCAGGGCCCTGGCAAGGTTGCAAAATTGCCAACCTGCAAGGGCTCCAACACTGCAGGGTTGCAAAACTACAGCCCTTGCCAACCTTGCCAACCTGCCAAAGTTTCAACACTGCAGGCTTCCCACTTGCTGCAAGGTCTGCCAAGCTACAAATAAGGCTGCAAATTCCAAACTGCAAGGCTCCAACACTGCAGGCACACCCAACTGCAAGGCTTTTCAAGCCTGCCAAGCAGTCTGCTAAACTGCAGAGCAAGGTTGCAAACTACAACCCCTTGCTAACTCAACACTGCAAGACTTCCCAAGCAAGGCTGCCAAACTACAGACCTGGAGGTTGCAAAATTGCCAATCCAATCTGCAACCAACTGCACCAACACTGAACTACAGACAAGAAAGTTCAAACAGAAGTTCCAACACAGGCCTGTTTGCAAAACAAACTTGGGAGCTTTGTCTGCCAAAGCTCCCACACTGCAAGGAAGGCTTGAAACTTGGTTGCTGGCCCAGCGCAACATTCCACAATTTCCAACAAGGCTAAGGCTGTAAAAAACTGCAACCTGCCAACCTGCCAAGTTTCAATACCCTGGCAAGGGTTCTTGCCACCTGCTACAAGACTTTATTAGCAAACTTGCACTTCCAGCACTCTGCTCAAGCAAGCTGCCAAACTGGGTTCCAGCTCAAAACTGCAACCCACTTGGCAAGAGTTGAACACTAAGGCCACTGCAAGACTTGAGCGCCTCACCTGCCAAAGTTTCAACACTGAAGGCTTCCCTGCTGCCCTGGCAAGGCTGCCAAACTACAGGCAAGCAAGGCATTTCCAACAAGAGTTCCAACACTGCGGGCCTTGGTTGCAATACAGACTTGGCAGGGATGCAAAACTGCAGCTCTGTAAGCAAAAGCTCCAACACTGCAAGGAAGATGCTCAGGGGCGAAGGGCAAGAAACCCATGAAGCTACAAAAACCTCGAAGAAATCAAAAAAAACAAAAAAAACAGAAACATCAGGGTCCTGGGAGAGAATGCCCAGGTCAGAATCTGAAAAAAATGAAAAACCTCGAGAAAATCAAAAAAATCAAAACAATCAAAAACATCAAGGCCTTGAGAGAGATAGTCACTGGGTCTGGGCATTCTGCTCCAGGACCTTGATTTTTTGTTTTCTTTTTGACTTTTTTTGATTTCTTCGAGGTTTATTCACTTTGCGAGATTCTGAGGAAAAGTGAAAAACCTCGAGAAAATCAAAAAATCAAAAAAATCAAGGCCTTGAGAGAGAGAGTCACTGGGTCTGGGCATTCTGCTCCAGGACCTTGATTTTTTTGTTTTTTTGTTTTTTTTTGGATTTCTTCGAGGTTTATTCACTTTCCGAGATTTTGACCTGGAAAAGTGAAAAACCTCGAGAAAATCAAAAAAATCAAAAAAAATCAAGGCCTTGAGAGAGATAGTCACTGGGTCTGGGCATTCTGTTCCAGGACCTTGATTTGTTTGATTTTTTGTTTTTTTTTGATTTCTTCGAGGTTTATTCACTTTCCGAGATTTGTTTGATTTCTTCGGGTTTTTTCAACATGTTCATCCTGTACAGCCAAATGGCAGATGCAAGATGAAGTTAGGAAGCCAGAAGCCCGAGACCTTGCAGATTCTGGGATGTGTCACCAGAGATAAAACACAGAAAGTGGTCGATCTTTGGGGGGGGGGTACCATATATATATATAATATGCATATGCATATATATATATAATGATTATTCATATATATATATATATATATATTATATACACATATATGTCCATGTACACCCCTTTCTCGGGGAAACACATCTTGCTTCTCCAATCTCGATTCCAGAGGTCTTGGCCCATCTCCAACCAGCTGCTTCACCTGGCGGTGCAGGATTGTGCCGCTCGGAGCGGCCATCTTTCTGGCGGAGAACGCTCTCCTTCTACTTGCCTTTGTTTTTGTTTTTTTTGCCAAGGGATGTTAGGACTGAACCACTTTTTGCCCACTCATGGATGGGTTTTCCGTATTCAACCACTAGAAGTTGGTCACTTTTTTGCAGTGGAGCAGATTTCGCAACCAAGTTTGCATTCAGTGCGAGAGATGCGTTTCATGGGCCCTGAGAAACGGAACGACCCCATGAAAAGCCGAATCCCAACTGGTGGTCTCCTTTGAGAAAAAGAGCCTGGCTTCATTCTCTCATTGCCTAGCTATCAGCAAGTCTACCTCCCTGAGTTCATGGACGTTAGTCACGTTTTGGGTTTGGAACATTGTGGGAAACAGACAGTTTGCTTACTTTCTGTGGCCAATCCGCTCAGGAAGTGAGATACCCAAAAAGAAGAGGTCGGCCATTGTAAATGCGGGAGCCTTAATCATTATGGAGATTTGGGGTACTTGAACACTAAGCCAACGGGCAATTAGAAGGACCTCTACGTGAACCCGGATAAATGTTGAGTATGCATCAAGGGGGACCCAACCAATGGGTTTGCCTTGCAGTTTCCCTCTCACTGGTTGAATCCCCCCACCCCAAAAGATGTTTGCAGACTCGTGTTAAAGGCTTGTAGACTGAGGCTAGTGTTGGCACGATCTACAGCGCTCGTGTGTTCCCTTGCAAGTCCCTTGTTTTGGTCGGAATCTCTCCGAGATAGATTAATAGTCTCAAAAAGTGAGCCACTCATGATTGACATGGTCCATCCAAAGTTGACATTTTGAAAACCGGCCTTGAGCAACTTATCATAAAGCAAAAATTAGGATCCGTCCATCAAGTTCGGTGAAAGCTTAGGTTGTTTTTGGCAAAGCAGCAAGGCTCCCTGTGTAAGGTATCTTATGCTTTTGGCAAGTCTCTATTAGTCATTGTTGTGCGCAATCTCAAGCCACGGTTACCCGGAGAAGTCTACCCTTGGTTCATCCGCCTGTTGCACAGATGAGACTCTGATGTAGTGGGTCCTTCAACAATGGCCGCCCAGAGAATGGTGGGGTGTTTTTTCTTTTGGGGGAACTCCCTGTTGGTTGTGTTTGTTACTGTAAACATGTGTAAAGTATACAAAACAACCAACACATGTTTACAGTAACAAACAAAAAGGACACAATAAGACAAGGACGCCAAAAGGAAGTTGTTCTTTTTGCGGGAACTCCCTGTTGGGGAACTCCCTGTTGGTTGTGTTTGTTACTGTAAACATGTGTAAAGTATACAAAGACAACCAACACATGTTTACAGTAACAAACAAACAAGACACAATAAGACAAGGACACCAAAAGGAAGTTGTTCTTTTTTTCGGGAACTCCCTGTTGGTTGTGTTTGTTACTGTAAACATGTGTAAAGTATACAAAGACAACCAACACATGTTTACAGCAACAAACAAACAATACAAAAAAAGACAGGGAAGCCAAAAGTAAGTTGTTCTTTTTTCGGGAACTCCCTGTTGGTTGTGTTTGTTACTGTAAACATGTGTAACGTTTTCAAAGACAACCAACACATGTTTACAGTAACAAACAAACAAGACACAATAAGACAAGGAAGCCAAAAGGAAGTTGTTGGTTTTTTTTCGGGAACTCCCTGTTGGTTGTGTTTGTTACTGTAAACATGTGTAAAGTATACAAAGACAACCAACACATGTTTACAGTAACAAACAAACAATACAAAAAAAGACAGGGAAGCCAAAAGTAAGTTGTTCTTTTTTCGGGAACTCCCTGTTGGTTGTGTTTGTTACTGTAAACATGTGTAACGTTTTCAAAGACAACCAACACATGTTTACAGTAACAAACAAACAAGACACAATAAGACAAGGAAGCCAAAAGGAAGCCAAAGACAAAAGGAAGCTAAGCCTTTTGGTGGTTTCATAATGAGACAAAGCCCATGGGACAGCCAAGCCCAAAACTGTTCCGAGTGGGTTTCTCTCTTTCGTGGTTCGTAGCCTTCTGGGGTTGGTTTCAACTAGTGACCCTAGTGACCCCAGGGTGTTGGTTGTCTTTGTTGGAGTTGGCGGTGTTTTCTGTTTGGTGTTTGTTTTTTTTTAAAGGTTTTTCTGGGGGGGGGACTAACTTTTTGCGGATTGGTTTAAGGGGGAAGCCAACCGGAAACCCGAAGCAGCCAACTGGAGATCCGGATCGATAAGCCTCCAAAGGCCACGGCCGCTGCTTGAAAGGGGGGGAATGGAGCAACCTGAGTGCCACTAAATTTGTAATCACTAACCTCTGAAGTGTTTTTTTAGTTGTGTCCGCCCCTGTATTGTAGAGAGCCATGTTGGGTCTGCAGCTTCCTCTAATTGACTGCAGTTGGTTTTAGTGTCCGTGTATTGCCATCACGAACCTCTCAAGTGCTTTTAGCAGTGTCCGTGCTTCCAGCCTTTTGCGCACGCTGGTGTTTCCCCTTCTGGTTTGCTTGGGGCTGGATTTCTCTTCCAAGGTCCTTGAGTTCGGTAGTTCGGTCTAGCGTCGGAAGCTTCCACCGGCTGCTTGTGGAGAATCGGGGTATTGGGCCACTTTCTGTGAGCGACCAAGGTGCCCTCAAGTGGACATTGTAGTTTGGTATCACATCAAGGGGCCTGTTCAGAGCCCTGAAGTAGGGAAGCGGGGGCAGGGCTCCGTTACGAGGAGTGCACATTTTCGGTCTTTCCCACAGTTTGCGACTCCCAGTTATTCAGTTGTCTCTTTTGTTTGGTGGATTCCCCATACGGCAAATAGTAATCTTCAACCAAGTTGTTTTTTTTTCTACCTTTCCTTCCATTTGCTCCATATGTTGCTTTGTTCCAAAGGGAATATCTATCCCTAGCAACACATGTCTTGCATTTTGTTTGGTCCCAGGCGACTCTCCCCTGCACCTGGGGGTGGGTCACTGGAGCCACTGAGTCACTGGGGCGTGAGTCGACTTTGAGGCGAAGAGGCCCTTCTTGTTGCAGCTGAGCCAAGCGGAGGGCGAGTACATGGCCACCCTGGGCCGCTTCCGGCACCGGACCTGCGTGAGCCTGGCCTACGGAGATCCCCTGATCCCGCCCGCCTCCGGGCTCATCGCGGCTTGGTGAAAAATGCGACGGTGAGAGTCATGGGAAAAGAGAGAGCATGTCCACCATGCAACATCTCTTGTTGGATGACATGCTATCACTCTCTTTTCCTTCCTTCTTTCCTTTTCCCACCTCCAGTAGTCTCAGATCCAGTAGGTGAGACAAGGAAAGAGTGAAGGAAGCCCATCCTAATCGGCTTTTGGGCGTCGGAGTCGGATGCCGAGCGTAAAAAGCCCGCAACAACTGGATGCGAGGAGCTCAAAATAGGCTCCCCCCCAGAAATAAACCATGGTGTTCCTTTTGGTTGCCCGTTCCAACAAGACTGAAAGGAGGGAGTCGTTTCAGTCCCACGGTTCGGTGCCAAAGCGAAAATCGGAAGGCCATGCGCTGTGTGTAGTAGGGAATGGGTGGCAAAATTTGGTGGTGGACATCATTTACATGCTGATCGCCCAAGACTAGCTTGCCTTTTGTGAGGTCAAAGCCACAAAAACCGTTGGCTATTAGTACGTGGGCTAACATTACCTAGCTTAACAAGGTTTACAGAAGACCTATACAGGGCTTTATAAACCGTCTTAGTTGAGCCAAACTTCAATGGGCTTGGGCCTTGCTTGTGTGACGATGAGGGTTTGTCTCTAAGGGAGCTGCCGCAGTTCCCATTTGCTTTCCCTTTACACTCCCTCAGACTAGTATGGAAGCTCCCAGAAGGTTTCTGCAAATGGAGCCAAGTCTTCCAAAGGGGTCCTGGGAGCTTCCATGTTAGTCTGGGGGAGGGTAAATTCCACCCCAAAAAAGTCAAACAAAGACACCCATGTGGCGTTGCTGCGCCTTTTGGTCAGGCCGCTTCGCTTTCGGTTTCGGAACCCTTTTCTGCCGGCGCTGAGCTCTTCGGATGTTTGAATTTGCAGTCCTTTCCCTTCTTACGGGTTCCCTTCTTCCAGAACGAGCAAATACCATCGTTCTTGGGGGTCTCTTGGTTACTGGTTGGCTTACAACCAAAGCGAGCCCGACCATTGATTTTTGTTCTGGGAGGGGGGGGGGGAGCCGGGAGGGCCAGCCTATGGAATTGGAGTTTCTCGGCAGAACCCGTTTAAAGTTTTGTTGTGCCCTGGTTTTCAAAGGGCATAGATTTCACGGCTGGACATATATATATATACATATATATATATATATGTTTATTATTATATGTTTATATTTACTATTATTATTATTGTTATTATTATTATTATTGGTATTAATATTATTATTCTTATTGTTATTATTATTATTACTATTATTATTATTAAGTACGTTATTGTTATTGTTATTAATATTATTATTATTGTTATTATTGTTATTGTTAATAATTATTATTCATCATCATCATCATCATCATCATCATCATCATCATCATCATCATCATCATCATCATCATCATCATTGTCACTAGTCACTAGTCACTAGTCACTAGTCACTAGTCACTAGTCACTAGTCACTAGTCACTATTATTATTATATATATATATATATATATATTATCATGTGCTCAACGGGATGCGGCAATAATCAAGGATCCTTTGGTCATGCTGGACAGTCACAGCATCCTCGACGAGTCTTTCTGGCAGCTCAACTTTGATGAGTCCTTTGACTCCACCCACTCGGGCGACCAGCGCAAGGCCATCGATGCGCGCTGTTTGGAAAAGAGTTGTAAGAAAAGAGACAAGTCTAGGGGTAGCTTCCCCATTCTTTCAAGGGATCCTTCTTTCTAGAAAGGCACCAAAAACCCTGGGGACATGGCGATCGGTGATTGAAAAGAACGATTGAAAAGGATGAACAAGTACTCAACCCCGAGAAAAAGAGAAAGCATCTGAAAAGTAAAAGAAAAGAACAAAAAAAACGGATCGGGGCTGGCCAACGCGAAGAACGTTCCAACCCCTGGAGCCAGAAATTGGCCGATGTGGGGTGTGCCTAAACAGAACTAGGATCTTGCATTTGACATGTCCAAGACCACAAGTTTAAGGCAGCAAGTACTGCGACGGCGTTTTTGTTTTTGCGTGCAGCCTTGGGCGCAGCAATAAGCAAACAAACCGTTGCTCGGATGTTCAGTTGCACAGCTTGCAATATCCAAAATGTTTGGGTCTTGTCCTGCACAACAATGTTAAGCCCCAAAATATGCATCCTTAATTTTGTTTCCCCCTTTTTCTTCTTCTTTTTTTCCTCTCCTTCCTGGTCGGGTCTGGACCCCGAACCGATTTTTTTTTGGGGGGGTGCCATATGAACCCAAGCGTTGTTTTAAAGGTGGCAACTGCTTCAGGGGATGAACTCTGGCAGGTGGCTTCCGGGTGGTTGCGCGTGCCGGTGGCGATCCTCTCGGGTTTCAGTTTGCTTCTCAGCTTCCTCCTCCGTGTGCTCGTGGCGGTGACGTCGCTCTGCAGCTCGTGCTGCAGGACTCACGGGGTCCCAGTTTTGTTGGCTTCCCCCTGTTCTTTCTGGTGCGATACGTAGGGAATGAGGGAGTGAATTTAAGAATTCCCTTAAAGGAAACCACAGGGAATGTTTTTTTTTTTCCCTGGGGTCACGTTCCCTGCCTATCGCACCAGCAGGTTTTCTGTTTCCCCCTTCGGCCGGATCGTGCAGGACTGGATCAGTAGCACCCCAAGCGCATCGCATTTGGGGTGTCCCCCTTTTTGCCCATGTTTTGGTCATGGCCTCAGGATCCAAAAGGTCAACCGTTTATTTGAAAGGCTCTTGCTCAGGGCTAAAACGTTGTTTGGAAACAAGGCCAGCGTGTTTGGTCATGGCCCCAAAAGGATCCCAAACCAGCACCCTCCGACTACTGTTGTCATTCTATTTTCGCTACCGTCGATTTAGCAGGAGTTGGGTGCTGGAAGGTCCCTGCGGCAACACCTTTTGAAAGGCCAATCTGCGGGGGGGGGGGCTATCGAAAGGGTTGTTTACGCTCGCATCAAAGGACATGTGTGTAGCATTCTCAAACCCTTTTGAGAGTCGTTCCAAAACCCGGGCTTTCTTTTAGAACTGGCATTCGCCTTTTTTCGTGCTCTGCAAAGTGATTGATTCGCGAAAGCTCCGCGGAAGCGCGGAACCTTGCAGCTAAACAATAGCACGTGTTGAGCTCCCGTTCTTTCACCCGTATGCGTAACGTTCTTTTTGGTCTGCAGCACGGAAGCTCTACGGAGTCGCTTTTATATATGAGCGACTAACTTTATTAACCAGGCTCCCGCCTGCTGCCGCCGACCCTCGGCGCATTAAGGGAAAAGTCACAAGGACCGGTCCTGAAACACGTCCGCAAACCCAGGGACCACTTATAAGATCCTCTACGACCACAAACAAGGATTAACGGAAAAGTCAGAAATAGGGCAGCTAGTCCGTTAATTACCGCTTGGGCCGGCTTGCGCCCAAGTCACTTCGAGTTGGCCCGGGAGCAGTCGCCTCTCCCGGGGTCGCCCTGAAACTGGCCCTCCCGAAGTTGACCGCAAACAAGGATTAACGGAAAAGTCAGAAATATGGCAGCTAGTCCGTTAATTTCCACTTGGGCCGGCTTGCGCCCAAGTCACTTCGAGTTGGCCGGGAGCAGTCGCCTCTCCCGGGGTCGCCCTGAAGCTGGCCCTCCCGAAGTTGCCCTGGACCGGTCGCCGGCAGCAGGCTGGTCCCAGTCTGGCGCGGTTTGACTTGACGTATTGGACTCTCTTGCAGAATAGATCCAGGGATCCTCTACTACCACAAGGACGTCAATAACCGCACGGGCCGGGTTGGTCGCAGGGAGTGACGACCTGGGACCCTGTCCAGTGTCCTGGGTGCCAGTCCGGAAAGGTGTCTGGAGCGGTTTGAGGTGGCAGCACAGCAGTTTGAATTGGGACCCAATACCAGCGATCACACCAGGACTCGATCCAGACCGGTCCCAGGACTGGTCCTGGGACCGGTCCTGGTCCCAGTCCTGGGACTAGTCCCAGGACTCGTCCCAGACCGGTCCTGGGACTGGTCCTGGGACCGGTCCTGGGACCGGTCCCGGGACCGGTCCCAGGACCGGTTTTGGCTGACTACAAGTAATCTGAAACAGCAGAACCAGGGTCCCAGGACCAGTCCCAGAACCGGTCCCAGGACTGGTCCCAGGACCGGTCCCGGGATCGGTCCCTGGGTTCGGGCGTGTCCCCCAGGGACTATCATTGATTCCAATCACTTCCAGTTGCATCCCACGCCGGTCCCCTCTGCAGGAGGCTGGGACGGGAGGCAGAGGGTCGGCGGATTTACGTTAATGGAAACATGCAAGGGGCTGGAACTATGTTTTTTGGAAGCGAGATAGGGCAAACAAGCATGATAAGATGGATTAGAATGACATTTTGGCAAGTGCAGCCTGGCAGAGCGTCTTGGGTTCAAGGTTGTTAGATGTAGTGTAGAGTAGACGACCTACGTCGCATGGTCCGTGGCAACTTACCACAGACTTTGCGGGTCAAGTGCTGGCCAACCCTACGATGCCTATCTGCAAAAGGGTGTGAAGCAAACTTGCGAAGAAGCAGCGTAGCTGGTTTGTTCAAGATTTGCCCCTGGGCAATTTTCAGCCGTCCAAAAGCGGGCCATGTTAAAACGAGTTCCAAAACGAGTTCAAAACGAGTTCAGAACGAGTCCCCTACAGCGTCCAAGTGAGTATTGGCCCAGCTCCTCCTCTCAAGTATTACTTTTCAACAAATTGCGTAGCAGCAGTTTGCTTAGCGAAAGGTTGTGCGGCAACAACGAAGGAGACAATTGAGGCGGCAAGCTAACCAAAGCTCGTTTACTTCTTTAGGCTCCTCTTCTTCAAGCTCTACAGAAAGTTGAGCCAGATAAAACGAGCGCGGTGTTGGAAAACGAGATAGGGGGCTGCGACCGAGCGCGGGGTTGGAAAACGAGTCAGGAACACCCGTCCATTATGCCATGTAACAAATACAAGCCGTTGCTCATACCTGAACCCTCCAAAAGTACTGAAATTTCCGTACATGCAGAAAAAAAGTGTCAATGTACACTTTCCAGAAAATTTGACGGAAATCGCTTTTAGCAGGCTGTGAGCGTTTGTGGTGCACTTGGATGCACATGAACACAGTTTGCAATTTACACGGCCCGTCATACTTAATTCCGTTTCAGGTCTTTCGTCTCCAATTGCTGTGGGGCAATGTGTGACAGCTTCCTTGCCGCTTTTGCGAGTTTGCAGTTTTCTCAGCCAAAATGCAGAAACCGCAAATGCACGGAAATCGGCGGGAAATGCACGGAAATCGGCGGGAAAAGTACGGAAATCTGTGGAAAATGCACGGAAATCAGCGGAACATATTCTTGAGGAAATGCGCACCTTTTGTCCTTGGTGAATTGCACACCTTCAAATGGTATGAGCATGACAATCTCCAGTGCCATGGCCGGAGCTGAAAGTGAGATTCTTGTAGAAAAAAAGGTAGTTAAATGCTCCTGTGTCTTATCTTGAGCCTGCAAGAAAAGTACAAGGAAATGCACGGATGTTTGCAGAGAGTCGCAAAAAAGAGCCCTTGGTTGGTCCAGGCATATATATATATATATACATACGAGCCGTTCGGGCATCACCTCACGGAGGCGAGGTCTGCGAAAACTCTTTTATCGGAGCTCGTACAGCTTCATCTTTCGCTCTGATCTCCAGGCGCCCGCCCGCACGCTCCTGCGGGCTGCCAAAATGCCAGCGTGTTTTGATAACGTGTTTTGTCGCGGAAGCGCGGAAGAAGCCAAAAGTGAGCAAGGCCAGGAGAGCACTTTTAGAGCAAGCCTTATTTATTAGGACAGTTAGGACCTTAATTACTCCTCAAAGTGAAAACGAGCCAATCACCAGGATTGAAAGACGCACTCACCAATTTGAGCGTATAGCGAGCGAAAATTCCTTGAAGTCCTTGCATGGGGGGGTCTCTAATTTCCAGTTTGTGAGTTGCAGTAATTTTCCCAGATGTTTGCGCGATGTTTTAACATGCCTCATCCAAAGAAGAAGCACACCTTCCCACCAACTAGCATAGACATGCGCACCACCACCTTTTTGGTTTGTGCGAAGGGTACCCTCAAATCACGACTGCACCCCTTGAAGCACATTTGTTGACCAAACAGGGTTTGGTGGAAGGGTATTTTCGAATCCTTAACACGTGGCCCCGCTTTTTTGGGTTCCATGTTAATTAATATGCGTGGAGGCAAATCACCTACAACAAGTTCCGCCCCCGAAAGGAAGCCAAACATGGAGTTTAATATGTAGTTGTTTTTCAGATCCTCTAATCGATAACCCCACACAACTCAGGTTGTTGTTTGTTCATCCGGAAGTTGACCCATTTGGAGGATAAACGTTTTTAAATATTGCAGAGCTCTGTTGCTTAAGAATAGTTGTGTTTTTCTCTGTTTTTAAGGGGAAGCGGTCACTACTGGAATTTGTTTCTGGTTTTTGCCAGGGGAGACTACTGCAAATGGTGGATTGACATGGAGCGCTTGTCAGGTTACCTCCCAATCGAAAATTGGTGCTTTGGGGATTTGAACCCTGGGCTTTGCCCCTGAACCACCGAGCCACCTGGCTCCAAACCACCCCCAGCGGTTCCCAGTCACCCTGAGAAGCAGGTCACCGACTATTTCCCTTTGGGATTTTAAAGGGCGGCAAGCACCTTTACCAGGTAAATAAATGGTCACTCTTCGGGATTTTAAAGAGTGTCAAGCCCTTGGTTCTCCACCTTTACCAGGTAAATGGATCCAGCCTATGGGTGCGGCACAAAAAAACGCGGTACCAAAATGGCACCTTGGCAAATGGAACCAAAGACCAAAACCGGCGTAACCCCAGCCATGTAATTTTGAGCCATACTGTGGATGGACGATATCCTGCACCACTTGAAAACCATGGGAAACCATTGTTCATGGGTATTTGCAGGGGATTCATCATTCCGGGGTTTCTTAGGTGGTGCAGGATTTCGTCCATCCACAGTACCCAAATGGATCCACTAAACACCCCTTCGAGCCCGCGGCTTCAGCGAGGAGCTCGGGTGGACGGCAGCTGGCGCCGGATACGCCCAGCGCCACGCTGAAAGATGGCCTCACTTGGGAGGCGTCGCAGGACGGCCCGGGGATGGGCCTCCGAAAATGGGGGGGGTTCCTGGCTGTGGCTCAAAAATAGGGTAACCCCGAACTGGCGCAAGAAACATGGACGATTCAACCTGCGGTTTTCTGGTGGTTTAAATTTGACCCATACCCATTGCAGGACCAACCCCCAAAACTGAGATCTTGAAAACCAAATCATTGGGGGACCAGAACCAACTGTGGTGTCCGCTTGCTCGAATTTTTGCTGTGACCCCCCAAAGACCAAATCTACCAGAAAAGGCTGGTGGCTGGTTTCCTATTGGTTTTAACCTAAACAAACCAGTTCGTTACAAGGGTTGAGCATCTTCATGAGGGTTTGGGTTGCCGGCGTGTGATTTGTGGACAGTGTCCACATTTCGTGTTTGGAGATGAGTATACGCACGGAAAAAAGAAGAGCTGACGTTGCAGTTGGCTTGTTGCAGGGAAACAACAAGTGCACATACGTTGAGAGAGACAAACCTACTCAGAGACCTGACAGATGATCGTTCCCCGAACCGCTGGGAACAGCTGCGCACCTCCGTGTATCCCGGGACGTTGTGGCATCTCTCACCTCAGTTTGGGTACTGTGGTGCCTCCGAGCACTTGGGTCATGCCAAATTTACGCAGACAACACAGACAGGTCGGCAGATCTGACGCGACACTCGGACAAGTCGATTCAGGGATCATCGTATTTGAGCAACTGACGTGATGCATGCTGCGAGCTGTCGGCCCCAGTCCCTGCATCAAATGGAGGGCCCACATGTGACAGTAGCAGGTAAACCGGAGATCACATGGTGCAAGCCAAGCGACCTCAGATGTCCAAGCCCTTTTGGTGACCCCAAAATGGGCCAAGCAACACAAACGTGGCCCATGACAGGCAAACCCGAAAAGCTTGGGGACTGTTCGGAAACCCTCGGGGAAAAGGCCACTCCCTCTACTTGTTTTGGAGGGTGAGAGTAGCCAGGCGATTTGATGCTTACGACATAGGGTTCCCAGAATCGCAGGACCTCAAGTGCACGTATCCACAAGCGGCCTAGCTGCAAGATGAGCAGGTGCTTGGGGAATATCTGGCTGAGGATGATAAAAAGGGCTTCTTTACATTTGAGGTCCCTGTGAAATCCCACCAAAACGGGAATTTCCCATTTTGGGATGGGGGATGGGGGAATGGGCGGGCTGGAACGAATCTTCAATGCCAAAACCACAAGATTTGGCTCCTCTGCAATCTGAGCAGGATTGCTTTAGGTCACTTACACATGTGCGTGTAGCAGCCTATAGCAGCCTCTTAGAACCCTACATGTTTTGGTAAGCCCTTGGCTACTTCTGGCTAGCTTCGCGTTTTTTGCTTCTTTTTGTTTTCTCTCTCTCTCTCTCCCAGAGCAGAGAAGATCAAGAGAAATAGAGAGAGAGAGAGAGAGAGAGCGAGAGAGAGAGAGAGAGAGAGAGAGATTGAGAGCGAGAGAGAGAGAGAGAGATAGAGAGAGAGAGAGAGAGAGAGAGAGCGAGAGCGAGAGTGAGAGAGAGCCATGTTCTTTTGCCCTTGAGGGCATCTGAGAATGTTACTGTAAAAGATGAAAGGTCGCACCAAACCATCATTCATTCTTCAATACAGGCATTGGCAAGGTCTTGCGTAAGCACACTCGCTGGAGCCTTTTCGGACATCGATGCTCAATGGTCATCAATGGGCCCGACAGCAAACAGGTCTGTCTTTTTTTGAGGGTACCCCAAAATAATGTTGGTGGTTTCAAAGGGACACAACAGAGAAGCCAACCATTTTGTGGGGCCCACTAAAGAAAGACACAATCAAATCATGCCTCTTTGCCTGGTCCAATGCCTCAAAACACTGGGGCACTCATGGCAACCATGAGATGCATGGGATTGCTTGCGACCCGGCAAATGGGTGTGCCTGTATTTGAAGGTACCTCTTGGATGCTTCAGGGAGACAAAAGGGACACCAGCCACTTCGGGAATCTCCTTAGAGACACCTCCAGTTCCGTTGAAGCCAGATTCAGGACGGATTCCGCGCGAAGGGTTCCCTTTTTAAGATGTGTGTTCCGCTGACCTCCGCTCAGTGGAGGTCACAGTGGAGGTCGGGTATTTTAACTCCTAAAGGTCAAGGAAACAAAAGGGCAACCAACCACTCGGGAAACTCCTTCGAGACACATCCAGTTTCTCGTTTCAGGACGGATTCCGAGCGAAGGGTTCCCTTGTCAACACTGTTCTTGGCCTGTGTGTTTAGTTGTTTGGTTCTGTTCATTTTTGCTGGGGGCTGCAAAAAACAAAGTTTGATCTCTACCATACCAAGAGTAGAGATGGTCCTTCTCCCGGTGGAAGTTGATTTGGCCATGGGTCATAACCTATCCATTTTGGGGCGGATGAAATTCCCACGTACCACCTATGTTGACAGAGGATTAATACACCCCTCCCATTATTAGGGGGGTGTTCCCTCCAAAAGTGGTCTGAATCCCCACTAAAAGAGGACACCCTCCCATCAAAGTCAACCAGGGGTTCTGCTTTATCCGGGGTTAACATTATGCACACCCATGTACCACCCACCACCCATGTACCCATGTACCACCCATATTCACCAGGGGTACCTTGGGTTTTAACCTATGAGCACCCATGTACCATCCATGAACACCCATGTAACACCAACATTATGTTCATGTTCACCAGGGGTACAGAGTTTAACCCACCGCCCTTTGCGTTTCCCGCCGTCACAGGAGCTCTATGAGGGCCTCGTCTCCGTGCCCTGGCGGCGGGTGGTCGCCAGCGCCCACCACCGGCTCCTGCCCCGAAACCTGCGCTTCGCCATTCGATTCGGGGCGCGGGGCCAGGGGCCAGGGGCCGATGCTTTGGTGAAGTCGTGCTGGAAGAATCCAGAAATATCTTGGGGCCAGAGTGGGCTGTGTTGCTTGTTGCCACATCTTGGGTTCTTTGTCGATTTGGCCGAATGCAGGTGAAGTTGGCTTAGCGGAAAGCCCGAGTTGTGGGAAAGGCTGGTGTCATTTTGGCAGGGTCATGTTGGGGGCAAAATAAGTACCGTCCTCAGCTTGCCATTTTGGCGAGCGACCTTGTGGACTTGATTTGCTCTCTCGGGCCCCGAAGCTTCATGTTGGAACCCTTTTTTTGGGTTCCATGTGAATCTGCAGTCATGTGTGTGCTGTTGCAGAGATCCGGGGGGGGGATGGGATGGGTTTGCAGGCAGCGGGTGAGTTCAAGGGTGCCAGTTTGGAGGTGTGGTGCCAAAAGCAGCAAACAGCGGAAAAGGATTGGGGACGTATGGTGACGTCTTTTCAATGCAGAATCCATGACCAGAACCGCCGGTCGATTGCCAGCACATGACACAAGTGAGTCAACTTCACCCGGACTGGCAGTTTTTGTTCTGGGGCTGTTGGGGGTCCGATATGCATGCATGTATGGTATGATACAAATGACAACAACAACAACAACAACAACAACAACAACAACAACAACAACAACAACAACAACAACAACAACAACAACAACAACAACAACAACAACAACAACAACAACAACAACAACAACAACAACAACAACAACAACAACAACAACAACAACAACAACAACAACAACAACAACAACAACAACAACAACAACAACAACAACAACAACAACAACAACAACAACAACAACAACAACAACAACAACAACAACAACAACAACAACAACAACAACAACAACAACAACAACAACAACAACAACAACAACAACAACAACAACAACAACAACAACAACAACAACAACAACAACAACAACAACAACAACAACAACAACAACAACAACAACAACAACATAGTCATATTGTTGAGGTCCAGTAGAATTATATAGCGGCAGGATGTGTACATTTATGAAGGGCAAGGCCCCTGATTTACAAGTGGTTCCCCTAGCTCCCCCCCCAAGGAGCCTAATGTGCATCTAGTTGCTGGCAGACCAACAACCTCCATGTGACTGCTTTCTGAGCAGTATTTGGATGTGTTTTCTTTTGACAGAACCCATTTGTTGGTTGGTTTGAAAGGACACCAATAGGAAGCCAGCAGCCAGGCTCTTTGAGTGGGGTCTTAATGTAAAGACACACCCCAAGGGCTTGGGACAGGGTTTCACGGCTTCCAGCCCTTGCCATTTCAGGCATGTCTTTCTGATCGGCAAGCGGGAGGAGCAGTTTGATGCCGAGCCCGGGGGCCCGGGAGAAACCGGAAGAAACCGGGGCCGTGTGAAACATGGTAAGGATGGTTTCGCTTGGGTCCACTTTCTGGGTTCCGGCGGTTCACGTTCACTTGGTTCCAGTGCTTCCCTTTCTGGCTGGTTGCCTGTAAGTAACTGGAGGCACTGGATCATTTGGGTCGATTCCTTCACATACCCATGTGGCCATGGGTCAAAACTAACCACCAAAAACACGCAGGTTTTGGTCCTTTCCAATTCATTTGGGGAACCTGTTCTGTAGCGGGCCCCTCAGGGCTTGGACAATTTATGAGTTCGATGATGTCACCGGTTTAGAGAAATCTCATCAGGTTTTCTTGCTAAAAGCCGGGCCGCCCCAAAATTGGCGGTTTCCTCTTGCCTTTCCTGTAGAACCACAGGGGGGTACACTAAAAATATGGTCGAGCCACCAAACTTCAACCTTTGCCGCTTTTGCCGTCGGCGAGTGACGTTGCAAGGTGCCCAAAAGGCCCTGGTTTGAGATTGGCCATGACAAGGGGCGAATTTGACCAGTCCCCGCAGCTGTATTGAAGAGGCTCAAAAGTGGTCCGAGTCATGGTTTCTGGGTCGGCATTATTGCTTTTGGCTCGTCTTGCTCTAAGGGTGGCGTGTTTGCTTTCATTGCCACTCGGGCGAGCCATATTTGGGCTGGATTGGCCTTGGATCTTGTGGGTCAAAGAAACAACCGTCGGACCTCAGTAAGGTGAACTAAGGAATGGGCGAACTTGTCCGAACTGACTTTGAGATCTTGGACATGACGTGTTTGTTTGCATATAGCCTTTTGTGGGTGGCTCTAAAGGATAACTCGAAGGAAACCGCCCCGTTTTCGGATCCCCATTTTGAGACAACCCATATCCCACTAAAGGTTTAACATTAAGCAAATAATCAATGAGCCACCACGGCTGGAGTGGCTTCGGGTTGGGTTTTGGAAGGCTTCCAGGGATTGCTGGTGGTGGAACGTGTCTTGTGACGACGTACAAATGAACGCTTACACAAACCCTCACGCACGAAGTTACAGCTCCTGCCAACTTTGGTGCTACCTAACCGTTGCCCAAGAATGACGTATTCTTGGCTGCTCTTGGGTTGGATCTGACTTGAACTTTTTGGTTAAAATCAAGGGGTTTTCCACAGCCACAAAAAGATTAAAAAAGCTTCTTGCAGAGGGGTCGTTGCAGCAACCAAGGTATTGGCGAGGTATGGCAGGCCACGTTTTCTTTGGTGCACTTTGCTTGGATGTTAGGACTTTAACTTTTTGCCAACTAACGGGTTTTCCGTATTAAACCACTAAAATATTCAACCTTTTTAGCAGGGCAGCGGAAAGCAACCCAGTTTTCCCCCGTCGTTCTGGGCAGCCCGACGTCCGTCCGTCGCGAGTCGCAAGGCATCGGATGTCCCGAAGGTGCATCGAGCTCCTGGCGCAGCTCACCTTCTCAGAAGCGCCGAGCATCCGAAACTCTGACAGCAACTTTGCAATTTGAGGAGGCGGGCGGGTGGAGAAAGACGTGTGCGCGTGTGTCTGTGTGTGTGTGTGGGTGGGTGGGTGGGTGGGTGGGTGGGTGGGTGTGAGAGAGAGAGAAAGAGCACCACAAGTCTGCAGAAACAGAGAATGTGTGCATGTGTGTGCTGGTGTGTTGTGTGCGAGCACGCTTTGTCTCTGCGTGTGTGTGTGTGTGTGTGTGTGTGTGTTGTCAGCTTTGTTTGTGTGTGTGTGTGTCAGTGAGTGAGTGAGTGAGTGAGTGAGTGAGTGAGTGAGTGAGTGAGTGAGTGAGTGAGTGAGTGAGTGAGTGAGTGAGTGAGTGAGTGAGTGAGTGAGTGAGTGAGTGAGTGAGTGAGTGAGTGAGTGAGTGAGTGAGTGAGTGAGTGAGTGAGTGAGTGAGTGAGTGAGTGAGTGAGTGAGTGAGTGAGTGAGTGAGTGAGTGAGTGAGTGAGTGAGTGAGTGAGTGAGTGAGTGAGTGAGTGAGTGAGTGAGTGAGTGAGTGAGTGAGTGAGTGAGTGAGTGAGTGAGTGAGTGAGTGAGTGAGTGAGTGAGTGAGTGAGTGAGTGAGTGAGTGAGTGAGTGAGTGAGTGAGTGAGTGAGTGAGTGAGTGAGTGAGTGAGTGAGTGAGTGAGTGAGTGAGTGAGTGAGTGAGTGAGTGTGTGTGTGTGTGTGTCTGTGTGTCCGAGTGAGTCTGTAAGTCGATAAATCAGTGAGTTAGTGAGTTATTGACTCTGTCAGCGACTCAGTCAGTGACTCAGTCAGTGGCTCAGTCAGACAGACAGTCAGGCAGCCAGCTAGGCAGGCAGCCAGCCAGCCAGGCAGTCAGTCAGGCAGTCAGTCAGGCAGGCAGTCAGTCAGTCAGGCAGTCAGTCAGTGAGTCAGTGAGTCAGTGAGTCAGTGAGCGAGCGACACTTGACGTCAGAATTTCTGATGCGTTTCTTTCGGCGCAGGCACCAGCTTTTCACGCCGTGCGCTGGCGTCACATCTGAACACCTTGGTCAAGTCGAGGCTAGTGACAGTTCGGAACGTCAGATCAACCCGGAGGTGTCCTTCTTATCGAAGGTGGATAGTTTTCTCTTTAAAATCACCCAAAGTGTCCCAGACAGGAGGTGGCTTCCATTTTGGTTCTTGGTGAGTTCTGAATTAACATATAAACCAAGCAAGGGAAACGGACGTTTCTCTTGACCAGGGCGACGGTGATTGCTATGGCCAGTTGCTTGAGAACAGATTTCCGCGAGAGATCCGTGAATTCAGCGTATCGGAGTCCTGCTCAAAGGGTGTCCGCCACATGGGGTGGCAACTCGAGACTCCAATTTGCGAATGAAAAAAGGGGGGTCTCCAAGAACAGGGGGCTTTCATGGTTGTTGTTGGGAAACATGCTATACATTTTTGCTTATTGTGGTTTAGTGCAAAATCCCCACTTAACTGCTAAAATTTAATTCTTTGCTCTCCTTCCAACGTCAACCAAGTTTTAGTGTTGTGATTCACCCATGGAATCCCCTAAGTGACAAGGATCGCCCATGAGAATGTCCGGAATACAGTGGCACTACCAAAGCGGTATGTGGAACCTCCAAAGAGGCTCCCAAAGAGCAAACACGTGGTGGGTTGTCATGCCATTTTGGAAAGGACAGTCGATAGGATGTACCAACACACGGATTCATCTACTGTTCTGCCACGGGTATGTGGGGGAAGTCAGAGTCACTGCCGACTTGAGTCATGAGAACAAGAATGTCCGCGGAAAGTAGCGTGCAGGAATTCCACTTGCAAAGCACCCAAGGGAAGAGTCAGCCTCTGGCATCAAATCTGCCGGAAGGCAAGCATTGTTGCTGTAACAGCCATAACCTTCCGCTTTCCATGGCTTTTGTAGATGGGTGTGTCTCAAAAAGACGGCCATGATATGAAGCCCCCCGAACTCTTGGGTATTGGGGCTTCCTGGTGTTAAGCCAAAAGGAGCTTCAAAGACACGCCCAGATTTCCATTGGGCACGTTGACGTGTTCCATTAGGGACAGATTTCCTGGTGGTTTGGATTGGTGGGATTTGAACCCCTTGCTGAGGGATGGGAAACCAAGAGGGCTCCAAACCACGAGGGAAGCTGAAGCAAAGTCCCGTTGGACGTCCACGGCACTCAAGTGTAAAGCACTTGCGAACGCCGCGGTCGACCGTCGACGTCGAAAAGCCGCGCTGCATCAGATGTCGAGCCTGTTACCAGCCCAATTGTATGTCCATGCCCTTTTCAACTTGCATGCGCCACAAGTTGCTGCCTAATGTATCATAGCCTTGTGAAGTTGAGCTAAAGAAATGCAGTCCGTTGCTCGAAAGACGATAGATATCAATGCCCACAACAAATACAAACCCGGCCTCGACTGGAACTGCAATTCACGCAAGGCGAGCCCATGATGGGTCTCGGATGGCCAAAAATTATGCACAACTTGGTGGGTATATTCCAGTGTTCACAGTGCTTGAGCCATCCCCCTGCAGGATTTTCTCCATGCACAGTATATATACATCTACATACGTGGTGATAGAGTGGACTTCAGGATGTCATCTTGAAAGCGCGAGCCTTGGTCATTTGGTCAGTGTTGCAGTCTGGGTAAGTTGCGACGCTTCGAAACCGTGATCCAGGCCAGCCAACCAGGACTCAGTTTCCCTCGTATGCAGAACATGGACCCCCAAGAGACCCTTGTGTTTGTAATTGTTTTACAAACTATTTGTTTGTTATTGCTTTTTTTTTGTGGGGGGGTGACCTTTTCGGGTTCTGTGTGAAGCTGCATTCTCTCTCAACTTGTGGATATCCAGTCCTGTTTTGGATCCTACAGCTCATCCCGCTCTTTGTGCTGCCCAGGTGTCCTAATTTCACGGAGGCTGACCATGCACCAGAACCTCGCCCAATGGGCAGAAAACATGTGGTGTGTCTCAACCCAAATGTGGAGGTTCTGTGGAAGACTTTGTTCCTCTTAGGGAAGGCAGGGTCCCTTCAAGGACACATTTGTGCCAGTGTAAAAATCGCCAATTGATTTCGAGGATTCCCTTGTAAAGCAGGTGGTGTTTGGATGTATCCTCAAAGAACCCTGAAAGGGGCTCGAAATGTCTGCCCATTTGGCACGACAATTGTCAAAGCGGGTGGATCCCTGCACCTCCTAGGGCAGCAAATCCGAATGTTTGACAACCATGCACTGTGGGTCAAATCCTGCACCAGTTGGGATTTGGATGAAACCCGGTAAACACTGGGATAAACCAACTGGAGTACTTCCGTAGTTGCGTTCCTCGTTCCTAGTAAGGAATATCAGAACGGCCCTCTTGCAGCCACAAACGGCTCCTAAAGAGATTCTTGGACGAGTTTCGCCGGTTTCGTCGGTTTGGGGCCCATGCCCACAAGCAAATAGAAGCAGGAAGCCGTTGTTTTTTAAATGAGACAGACCTCTCATGTCGGCCCCATGGTTTTGGTCGCTCAAGTTGAGTCAATGAACATATGATTTCCAACAAAGGCCTCGTTGACCAGAGATGCGGACATGTTGAAGTGTTCAAGATGATATCTGCCGGACCAGGATGTCGGGACTCACGGAAGCCCCAACTCCGTTTTTCGAAACAAGCCAAGAGGTCATCAGACGCTCCTCTTGTTTCGTTCTTTCTCGCATGTTCTGGGCGCAGCGCGCAGAATTTGCTGCAAAGCTGGGTGGTGCTGCGGGTGATGCCTGAGGTATGCTCGATCTCGGGCTTCAGCTGAAGAACTTCAGTCACATCGTGGTTTTTATTCCTGGGAGTGTCACGGGGAAAGACTCAAGACCCATCAATGATATATTTTCTACTCCTCGCACGTTGGGATTCCCTTAAGGCCATTCCAAAAAGGAGCCCGAGGTTTGCATGTTTTGTGTCTCAGGTTCGTGCTTGGCATCTTGAATACACCCAGAGCCTTGCGCCATGAAGGTGGATGTTTACTTGCCCAGTGGCGAGGGTTTCTCTGCAGAAGTCTCAGCCACTGCGACCATCGGCGATCTGAAGGCTGCAGCGCAGCAGCATTTCCAGCGTCGCTTGAAGCTCACTGTGAAAGGCCGGCAGCTCAATTTGACGGCCACGCTGAGTGAGGTCGGGTTGCGAGATGGGGACATCGTAGCTGCTGTTGTGGAGCTGGGCAGACTGGCTGCTGCCACTAACGCGGCGTTTGCTTTGCATGGCCGCGAGGGCAGGATCGTGACATGGGGTCAGCCGCAAGATGGCGGCGACAGCAGCCAGGTGCAAGAGCAGCTGAGGAACGTCCAGCACATTCAAGCAACGGGCTTTGCTTTTGCTGCCATTCTTGAATCTGGGGCTGTTGTGACCTGGGGTCAGCCGGAATATGGCGGAGACAGCAGCCAGGTGAAAGAGCAACTGAGGAACGTCCAAAACATCCAGGCAACTAGCCGGGCTTTTGCTGCCATTCTTGCATCGGGGGCTGTTGTCACCTGGGGTCAGCCGCAATATGGCCGAGACAGCAGCCAGGTGCAAGAGCAGCTGAGGAACGTCCAGCACATCCAAGCAACTAGCTTTGCTTTTGCTGCCATGCTTGAATCTGGGGCTGTTGTGACTTGGGGTCACCCGCAAAATGGCGGAGACAGCAGCCAGGTGCAAGAGCAGCTGAGGAACGTCCAGCACATCCAAGCAGCTAGCTTTGCTTTTGCTGCCATTCTTGCCTCGGGGGCTGTTGTAACCTGGGGCGATCCGCAATATGGCGGAGACAGCCGCCAGGTGCAAGAGCAGCTGAGGAACGTCCACCAAATTCAAGCAACGGGCGGTGCTTTTGCTGCCATTCTTGAATCTGGAGCTGTTGTAACCTGGGGCGATCCACAATGTGGCGGAGACAGCCGCCAGGTGCAAGAGCAGTTGAGGAACGTCCATCACATTCAAGCAACGGGCGGTGCTTTTGCTGCCATTCTTGAATCTGGGGCTGTTGTGACCTGGGGTCACACGCAACATGGCGGAGATAGCAGCCAGGTGCAAGAGCAGCTGAGGAACGTCCAGCACATCCAAGCAACTGGCTTTGCTTTTGCTGCCATTCTTGAATCTGGAGCCGTTGTGACCTGGGGTGATTCAGTCTGGGGCGGAGACAGCAGCCATGTGCAAGAGCAGCTGAGAAACGTGCAGCACATCCAGGCAACTAGCCGTGCTTTTGCTGCTATGCTTGAATCTGGGGCGGTTGTGACCTGGGGTCAGCCGCAATATGGCGGAGACAGCAGCCAGGTGCAAGAGCAGCTGAGGAACGTCCAGCACATCCAGGCAGCTAGCCGGGCTTTTGCTGCCATGCTTGAATCTGGGGCTGTTGTAACCTGGGGCGATCCTGAATTTGGCGGAGACAGCCTACAGGTGCAAGAGCAGCTGAGCTTGGATGCACAACTGTTCTAATGGATGGCGCTAGAAGCGAGCTGAAAGAAGGGAACATAAGGTGAACTCCACAGTTACGGGTTGGCGTAAAAAAGGGGGTTGCTTCCATTGAGTGGACCACCAGCGCGAGGCACCGACGGTGCACACCAAGGAAGATGGGGGTTGAGCAACAGTCAACATTTACCATCAGCTGCAGTAGCCAAGAGAAGGTCATGCGAGAGAAGGGCCCCAGGAAAAACGGGAAAAACCCAAGCGCAGGGGTTTCCCCGGATCCCCCACGGAAACCAAGCAGGGCCCTTGATTGCAGAACGATTGCTTCTGATTTGTTTAGCGGGAAAGTCTGATAATCCAATGTGTCATTTAACATTGTTAGGGTTTGAATGGATCATGATCCTGCGAGGCGAACTGTCCTCTATTCAATTCGGAGTAGAAACTCCTAGCGAAGCAGGCCATCTCAAACAGCGCGATCATGTAACACTCGCAGGAAGGCTTAATTATCAAGCTTCAAACCGAGCATGGTGCGGCAAGTATTGCCAGGATTTCCATTGAGGGAGTTAAGGTGTTTTGAGATGCGGGTTGCCAGTCTTTTGAAAGTGTGTTTAGTTCACGTGTTGTTTATCACCGCACATACGTGCCGAATGGCCGTATGGCTCAAGTTTTGAGTACTCCCGACAAGTTCCCCTTGGACATGTGTTCTGCTTGTGGAGGGCATGCCATCCTGAAGCAAACACCTGCCGGCAAAAGCGGGACTCCAATCTGGCGGGCCAAAATGACCTCCTTGTTTATTTGTTTTGTTTGTTTTGTTTGTTTTGTTTGTTTTGTTTGTTTGCTTGCTTGCTTGGTTGGTTGGTTGGTTGGTTGATGTTGGTTGGTTGTTTTTGCAAGCATGGCAAACAATCATGCACAGCCCTTTGTTTCCGTGGACATCTCCACATACAAAAAAAGCGATCTGCCGTCGTGGCTCAAGCTGTCTCTGGCGCCTGAGCGGCTGTGAGTGCTGCTTGGAGTTGTCACTTTGGGATACTTTGGGCAGGTTGGACGCGATCGCGCATCCACTCCTTCATGTCATGTCTGTTTATGTCGAACCATTGGATTGCCGAATTGGATGGCTTAGTCCATGTGCAGGAGTCATGTCACAGACATGTTGCTTTTGGTGTATGAGCGTCTCTTTTAAAGTCAATCCACCTCGAGTGTTAGGTGATCAGGCTTCCCAATTGATTGCACAGACCCCGGAAGGATCAGCAAAAAATATTTGGGCCAAGATTATTTCGATTTGAGTGCCAATCGCGTGCACTCCAAAATGAAGGTCATGGCATAGGCTGACAGAGAGCCCTGTTTTAAGGCCGGTGAAAACTCTGCACCTCGCAACTTTGGCCAATTTGTTCGACGACCCATGACGTCCTCTTCACGTGGTCGCAGGCTGGATGCCGGTACATGGGTGAGTCGCCAGGGAAATCGCAAGGGCGGTTTTGCAAGGTACTAGTACGTGGACGGCCGCGTAGGCCAACGGCAGTCCCGCTTTATTTTGCACCCGCTGTGTTTTGACAGTCAGTTTGCCTTTTGGTGTTTTGCTTTGGTCGACACCAACGGTCGAGGATTGCAAAACACAACAAATCCGGGGCCCCAGAACAAGCTGACATTGAAGCTTCACCAAAATGAGCCTCATCAGAAAAGCCCCCCTTCCATCGCAAGCAAAGTCCCATAGAGTTGAAGAGGTGCAGAAACCTGTGGCCCAAGGATATCGAGCTTGCGAACAATTTGGGTTTGGGCGTTGTTCTCCAACTAGAGGATCCCCGAGAAAGGTGATTCTCCTCCTGCCCCTGGAGAATTCATGCCACAGCCACACCCACCCATCAAAGAATCCGATGGTTGTGGAGGATAAGGTTTAGAAATTAGACATGTTCTATGTTAGCAAGGGCGTGCCTTTTCAAGCAAAAACGTAGTGATGGGGATGAGTGTTCTACTTTGATATCACAGAAAGCGAGCGTCATTCCCCTCAACCATGAAGGGCATGCCAGAGCTCCTTAATGAGCTTGTCTGTTGGTTTGCATTTCTTCTGAAGATAGCTTGATCAGTATCACCCCGTGCTCCGTAAACAGTGTTGCCATGCTAGTCTCATGCGCTGGGGTTTTGATTTGGTGGCAATAGTTTGCACATCCAGCGGTGTCGCACCAGGTCAACCCGCGCTGCTCACCTATACCTTGGTCGTGTTTATGCTCTCCAATTGACTAGGTCCCCCAGTACTGCCCTTTTACCCCTTTTTTGGGGGAGGGTTCCTACAGAAAAAAGTTGGCACCCTTATTCTATCCTCTCTACTGGAGAACCTAGTTGATGTTAGCATTGCGATTTGTTACGAAGACACCAGTCTTATGAATCCAAAGATGACATAATCCTCTGAGCAGCGAGCAACCCAGAAGTTATACGTGTGATTCGCGGCGTTGTGGGGGCTTCGCAGGCGACAGCGGCTGGCGGCTGCGGTCGCCCTAGCTGCAGGAACGGATTTGGGCGCCTGACCAGGGCCCTTTGAATGAAATATGCCCTGGACATGCTGAATGCCATAAGACTACGAGCCTGCCGTCCTGATAGATCTCAAGTCCGCTGAATTCGGTGTGTACGAGGAACTGGCTTCAAGCTAGTGATTACAGAGGGCCCTGTTTAAAGCTCGGTGCCTGCTTTTGGAAGCCACCGCACGGAGTATGTCAATGAAGTAGTGAGCATTGATCAAGTGTTGCTTGAAATAAGTACCGCGTTCTTGCCATGCTCAACGAACATCTAAACTTGCTCCCGTTGTTTTCTGAGACTCAGACATACTTCATAGATCCCCTCAAAGCACAACACCTGACAGAATATGCTTTCGGGGATCGCAATAAGTGACCTTGTCCCATGAGACTTTGGCGCATGGCTTTGGGATGCCATGTGGTGCTTTGCATTTCTTATTCGCAGAGACGGATGTAACTCGTGACCATCATAGTTGTGTAAAGCCGCCCGAACATGGGGGAGCTTTGCACAGCGGCCTTTTTTGGTTTCCACTAGTTGGCCCGTTTTTCATGGCGCCAGAAGAAGATCATTTCTTGGTCTCAGGTCGTTGGTTGCGGGAGTGACAGGCTTCCTCTCGTTCTTGCTGCCACCTCGTCTCAATTGTTGTTTTGTTTTTGTTACCCCAGACAATCCATGTAAGTTAAGTGATATATATATATATATATGTATACCCACATCTACCCCCCAAATGGGTCAAATGGATGCATACATATATATATATACTATATTTATTTGTATATTATTCTTGGGGATTGTCTGGGTATCTTCCAGGTCCACAAAGGGTTTCCCTCCTTTCCTTCCTTTCTTGGCGCCACTTAGCCGGGAACCGCGCAGTTTTCAGCAGCTAGGAATGCTTCAAGAAAGCTCATGGCGAGCTGGTGAAACCAGGTCAGCATGGTAAGGCTTGATCCTTTTAGGGATCCTTGACTTCAGATATCTTGCACAATGCAATATCACAAGGATCTCACAAGGCCTGAGGTACCAAAAAAGGCCGCAGTTGGGCTGTGCCGTTGACAGGCGTTGAGTCACAGGCGGGGGGTTCGAACCGATGCATGGCGCAGAGTGGGAGACAAGAATTCGCCCGATCTTGCGTACCTATTTGCAGTCTCAAAATTGGTAAAGCCTTCTCCAGTGAAACTTGTGCAGTTATCTTCATGGGGCCCTGGGGCCAGCGCAAAGCTTTAGTTTCCCGAAACTTTGTCCTCTCCAAGAAGGGGCTAAAATCCCCAAACCAATCCATGCGACTTCGGGGTTGTCTGATGAATGGTGCCGATGTCGGTTCTAGTGCAGCGCCTGTTTGCAGGCAGGTGGAGTGTCTGTGTGTGTGTGTTTTTGTTTGAAGGATGCCGAAAGCAGTGCATGCCAGCTTTTCTCATTGCCTGAAAGTGTAGCCAGACTCTGCGAGGTGGGGTCGTAGGGTCGGATCTCACTACGTCTGATCCATGGATCCAGACAGGCGTCTTCGTTTTTGGGTTCAAGTGCTCCACAAACCGCTGGTCCACTTCTCATTTGGGTCAAAATTTTCAACCAACAGGATATCCGCAGGTTGAATCGTCCATGTTTCCATTTGCCAGGGCTTGCGCCATTTTGGGGATTCCCGATTTTTGACCCACTTCTTCATTTCAGAGATGTCACGGTTGCTGGGGTGGCGTGGCATTGTTCTTTTGGGCCGCAGGGCGCGGCAGAAGCTTTGCGAACCGCGCGGAAGAAAGAAATTATTCAATTCGGCGCACTTCCCCATTCTGAACCCAGGGATCCGAATCTTTGCAGAAAACCATCAGAACCCCAGGGGAAAACAGCGATCGGTTTTTGAAAAGAAGGATTGAAAAGAATGGAAACGGAATCAACCCCTAGAATTATTCAATTCGGCTGGCACTGATTCGAATTTCGTTGGAGTGTCAACCTGAGGCACGGATCTCGTGCCCTGAGGAAAAAACGCTCGAACCGATTTCTGCTCGACCCCACAAAAAAACGCTCGCCCCCCCGAAAACTCTCGACCAAATCCCCTTCTTCCATCCAGAGGAAGGGGGGCATTCAAAAAACAAATACAACATAAATGCACTCGGTTGCGGATCGATATATGCGCTCGTTTTGCGGATATGTGCGCTCGTTTTGCTCTTTGATTTCTGCTAGCTCCTTTCGAAAATTCAACGACCGATCATCTTGGAGGACCGACCAGCCCGGTTTTGGGAAAATGTTCGAAGCAGGAAAAAGTGTACGTTTACCATATATTGGTGACGACCCCTGGTTTTGCAATACGTTTGGGCTAAGGGCAAAGATTTAGGGAACGAAGGGTGCTCCAGGAAAAACAACGCATCACACTAATCCAGCGGGGGGATCATTCCGCACCTGGGGCGCGGACACCGCGAATGGAAGTGTTTGGTTTTATGGGCGGCAGAAATGGGTCCAGGTGTTGTTTACGCGTCCTAAACACTGGGCTTTCCGGATCCTTTCGAACGAATCTGCAAAGAATCCTCGGGGCGTTTGGGCGTTTTTTCTTGGGAGGGGGGGGGGGGGCGAAAGAAGGATCCCGTTCAGTTCGGGCTTGGACGGTCCACGAAAACACACAAACAACACACAAAACAATGCAAAAAAAAAAAAAAAAAACTCGCCCCCCCTTTGCCAAAATGAAACGGGCGCCAAGCTCGCCGGCTTTTGCAGAGGCATGGCTGTGCGGGAGAGCTTCTCCTGGCCATCCACGAGGCGGTCGCCCGATGTTTTGTTCCTGCGGGGGGCCCCTTTGTTTGTCAGGTACCCTCCCGCCAAGTAACATTCTAGTGCTACCTTCCCCATTCTTTCCAGAAATCCTTCTTTCTAGAAAACCTCCGGAAACCCAGGGAACAGCACGGAACCAAACCACTTCAATTCGGCATTTGGCCTCGGTCCCCCAGCTAGGTGCCAACTTTTACCTTTTCTTTTTGGTTGGGAGGGTTCGGGACCCTACTAAAATAGGCTACAGAAAGAAGTTGGTACCCGTGTTCTAGCCTACTGGAGGACCTAGACATGGAACACATGGACCTTTGGGGGTCCTGATTTGGACCATTGTTCCTTTCACAGGGGCCGAGTTTTTGCGAAGGGCTTCCATGTGAAATTGGTGGGAGGGTATCCCTTCTGGTGGAGGTGGTTTGGGGATTTGAAACCCCCAATGTGAAAACCATTCCAAAGCGCCACCTATCGGGTGGAATCATCTGTCAACACCTTTTTCGGGTGCTTTACCAGAAGGAAGCCGCTTTGAGAGGGGAGGGATACATGTGGGTCAGTCAAAAGATTGGCTTTTCCAGGCGATTTGGTGAATCAGGTGGCTTTCGCATGTATCCTACTTAAAGGAACCCTGTTCGAGGGATGCATGTTTTAGGGAAGCCTGTTTCCAGGATGCCTTTGGAGGAGCTTTGTTTGTGTGGCTTCATTTGCCCCGTTGAGATGCGAACAAGTCTGTCTTTGGGTGCCCTTGTTGGGTTGGTGTTCAAAGGAAACCAATCGGAAACCCCCTGTGGGGTGTGCCCAATTTTGAGACAGACTCACCTTGAAGTTGGCTTTGCGACGTCCCTTGCGCTACTTTCGAGTCTGCCTCCAATTGGCGACCCCCTGGATCGAAGGTACCTGAGGGAAACCCGAAGAATACCAACCACCCGGACAAAGCTCTTGAATTTGGACAAAGGCCATACGGTGGACGGGCAAAATCCGCTTTGCACTGGCCATTTTTTTTTGGCTTACAGGGTTCACAGGAGTTTATGGAATGCAAGCTTGGGTAGGTTATCACTTGCACTTCGGCGACTCAAAGCGAGCTCAGGCTTTCATGCATGACCCTTTTGATCCTGGGGGCCTAAAGTTTCGATCCAGCACAACTTACATGGCAAATTCGCCACAGAAGAAGCTGGACAGAAGTGGCCTGATTTTCTGGGGCCAATTTTTGGGTTTTTCTGGTGCAACTTCTTGGGGCAAGCTGTTTTTTTGGGGCCAATTTTTGGGCCAGGGCGGAGACTGTGTGACTTCAAGCACCTAGACTACACTTTGCCCCAGCGACGGCAGGAACGAAAGTTGCACATGATTTTGCTCGCTTGCAAACTCACATGCGAGTCTCCCAAAGGTATCCTCACTGCGTCATCAAGAACCACGTATGCAAGAGTCACTATGTCTGGTCTCGCTGGTATGCAACACAGCAATAGCAGTCTTTGACATGAGGGTCCTCTTGGGAGCATGGGCTGCGAACCGCTCACTTGCAACCACCAAAGAGATTCCTCAATCCGGGTGGTTGCTGAGGTGACCAGCGCTATAGCAAGGGATCGGGAACTGTCTTCTTCTGTGAAGATGTCGGTAGGAAAACATCCCCACAAGAGTCATTGGGGGTTGAGATACCTGGACTTTCAATTCCCTCTGAGCAGCCAGGGGCACCCTTTACTCGTGAATAGGCGCGAGTATGTCGTATGTGAATGGCTTCCAGTCAGGGATTGGCCAATCTGGGCAGATTGTAATTGGGCTATATCAAGCTCGCCCTGGTTTAGGTTGATTACTTGAGGATCCCTTGCATACATTTGTTGTTTGGAATTTCGAGATGAAATCATTGCCAGACTGAACTAGCCTTTTTAGCCTTTATGCAGGTCGGATTTGTTTGGCCCTCAATTGCTCCTGAACGTATAGACCTCCAGTACGTCTCCCTTTTCCTTTTGTGGCGAGGTTTCCCTTGAAACATTGACAAAAAAGAGTTGCAAGGCGTTTTTCCCATGGACATCCACTGGGAATTTCCTCAAGAAGGAGTCCATTAAATGGGGATCCTACAAGGTCCCAGGGGTCTGAGTCAATCGGACTAGGCCCAGTTTCTCCGCTTCGGCCTTGTGCGCGCGCGGCCCTGGAGCCAGTGGAGACCCCGGCGGGATTTAAGATCGCGACGCGCGGAGGGGTGGGTCCGGATTCGGGGAGGTGTCTTTACCTGGAGTCTCCTTCTGACCCAAATCAAAGATGGTTGGTCGTTACCCAAAATAATGGGGTCATGGACCCATTTTTGAGTCGGGTCATGGAGACTCCAGGTAGGCACCCCCTTTTCTGCCTGGTTGGTTCAAAGAGAATTCGGAGCAGCTGAAACTTGTCCGAAGTCCCTTGCACCTGGTGACGAGCTGGACCACTATAGTCGGAATCTCGGGCGCTGGGAAGGCCCGGAAGGGATGGGCCTGGGATCCCAGTCTCGGAAGGTACCGCTCTCCGTTGGACACAGAAGGGACTGGCTCAGAATGAATTTTGCGGCAAGAGCCAAGCTCAGGGGTACCTTCAGAACTTCAGGCATGGCGGGGGATCCCATTTCTTAGTCATCTACTTGTGGCAATACAACAGCTTCATCTACCCTCCCTCCTACTAACATAGCAACTGTGGGAGGGTACCTGGAAGATTAATTTCCTCTTGTAGGGACCCCCCGTCAGGTGCCAAGTTAGTGGAAGGGAGGGTAACATTCAATTCTCCCACCACCCTTTGTTCTGCTTGAACTCGCATTAGATCTCCTCAGATCTATGTGAAAGCGGCGCCAAGGGACCACTCGTATGCAAGACGGGCTTTGTATCTCTGGTGCAAATCACCTATCTGGTCTGAACGGCAATCCATGCTCAGGTTACGAAAGGATTTGGTCTCGTTTCCAGTGGTTTGACAGGGCTGGAAGACCCTTGCTGGTGCGAGAGGCAAGGAAGAAAAAATGGAATGAGTCCGAGGCAAATCCTCCAACTGGTGGTTTCCTTTATTCAGGAATCCCAAAACGGTTCAATGCAATTCTCATTCCCTCTGGAACCACGGATCGGATTGGCAGCAAAAAATCGGTTTTGGAGCGGCCCAGTCGACTATTTGGCTGTGGTTATCAAAACCGTTTTGGGATCCCATTTTAAGGGGTTTTCGGTGAATTCACCTCCCATTTTAGGACCTATTTGTTGGATTGGGATGTTCACTGGGGGCTACGATTTGGGTTTTGACCCATGGCCGTTTAAAGCCTTTTCTGCCAGGCGGTCAATGGTCTCCTTGTGGCTTTGCCCACCCTGGGCGCAGCCGCCGTGGCGTCATGGTTCTGGGTGCACCCCCCGAAAGCTTTCGGCCAGGGCAGAAGGAAGACCTAAGATGTCGAAGGTGGCAGCACAGCAAGCGTTTCGAAATGCGTTGAATGCTTATGGGGCCCAAGCATGGTGAACAACGCGCACGCTTTCGGGCATTCGGGGAAATCTGAGCGGTACTGGTGGCTCCTGACTTTTTCACCGGGGTAATTCGTAGGACGACTTGTGTTTCTGATGCATCCAAAGGACAGTTTGCAGTGCGCAACATAGCTTTAGGCACATGTCTTGCGCCTGATCGAGCATCGTCACGTAGAGTGCTTCAAAGCAATTGGCAACTTGCTGTTGGCCGCTTTGTTGGCCGCACGGCCATATTGACTCACCAAATGAATATAGTATGTTAATGCTTCCCGATCGATAGAGCTGCTGCGTGTTGCATGTGTGACATGGCCATTGACTAAACCTCCTCAAGCCCTTCGCTGGAACCCTAGTGGAGTATGTCTTATTGCTCTGAGCAACATGGAGCCCAAAGAACCATCATGTAGCAATCTCCTTCACCTTCTTTGGGTTCCATGTTGCAGGGGAGTGTAGTTTGCGGTGAAAGGCATCCTCGCAACTTGCCGCTCCTTTTGCCGGTCGCAGGCAAAGCTTTAGGCCCGACATGGAGCCAAGCCAGAAGATAGCTCACGGATGCAAATGTGTTTTGGAAGAAGCAAACACATCCAGGTTGCATTTTGGAAACCAAAAGGAAAGCGACTAGTTTGGAGGTTCCCCTATGTTGAAAACAAAGACATGCTCTCTTGCATATAGCTGGTGTGCAGCGCCAGTAGTGCTTTTTGATCTGGAATGGGGCTGAACGGCAAGCCAACAACTTCTTGGTTTAGGAAAGAGTCGTCCGAGTGGTGTTTCCCTTGGATGAGCATCAGCAACCCAAAAAACCCACGGACCTGGATGTTCCGAACAGTAGGCTTGTTTTTTTTTCTTGGTCTTTCGCAAACATCGCTGCAGAGGAAAGTTGCCCACTGCCCTGGATCCAGCTAAGCCCGCCTTGTGAGTGATTGAAATTTGGAGCCAACCTGGTGTCACTTTTGAACCAAGCAGGAGGAACCCACCCAGCACCAAGTCCATCAGACTGCTGTGCACGTGGCCTTTGGGGCCTTCGGGAATTGCCCATGAGCTGACGAGGATTTCACTGTGAGGAGGCGAGGCGGAAACGCTTGAGGCGGTCAACTTTTGATATATTTTGTGGTGTCTCTAGTTCTCTCTTTTTCTTTTAGTACTTTAGAGGCTTTTCGACGCCCAACTCTTGATTTGTTTTATGCACTTTCGAGGCTTTTCGGTGGAATAAAGCGGCAATTCCAAGCGCGAAGGACCCAAGCAACATACCCCTCAGGAGGCCCAAGAGGCGCAACTGTTGTGGCAGCGTGTAACCCAGTTGCCCAGTTGTACCAACTTTTTCAACGTTTCTTGGGGAAGGGCTCCCCGTTAAAGTCAACCAACCAAAAAAAGATGCCTTCTTTTCCCATGGCCGCTTGACATCTGAGACAAGTAAACATGGACTTGGACTCTGGGAGTTGGTTTTCGGTGGGTCTGGAACTACGCAGACCAACACCTTGGACTCAGAATCGAAGAATGCCACGAAGGGCGGGGGACCAGGGGGTACCCTCAAAGAATGACACACCCATGTAGCTTCCCTAAATTTGGTTGGACCCTCTTGTGCAAAAAGCAAAAGCTGTCCAAGTTTGACGGGTTCGCTGGTTTGCAGCTTTGGGAACCTTGAAACATGGCCCGGGAGTTGTCAGCCTGCGGATTGGGCCGGGAAGTTGTCTCCAAAACTTTGTTTGATCCCTTCTTCAATGCCACACATTCCTATGCAACCAGCGGGCGTATATTCATCCAGCCAGAACTTAGTAGTCAATGTCCTAAATCTGGTTGGGCTTCCTTGGTGTTCCAGTTTATGGGCTCCGAGTTTTTGGTTGGGCTCCTTGGCTTCCTTGGTTGGGCTCCGAGTGCAAACTTCCTCGTATCTCGTGATTCTGCGAAGGTTTTTGGTGGTTTCCTTCAGCCACCTGTTTTGGGGGAGGCTGGGGGTTCAAAACCCCAATTCCCCCGCCACCCCCCCCCCCCTACCTCCCAGAGCCCCCCCTACAAAACAATGGACCAACAGGAAGGCCCAAAAAGCCCCGCCTACAAAAACAATGGACCAACAGAGGGCCCAAAAAGCCCCGCCTACAAAAACAATGGACCAACAGGGGGCCCAAAAAGCCCCGCCTACAAGAACAATGGACCAACAGGGGGGCCCAAAAAGCCCCGCCTACAAAAACAATGGACCAACAGAGGGCCCAAAAAGCCCCGCCTACAAAAACAATGGACCAACAGAGGGCCCAAAAAGCCCCGCCTACAAAAACAATGGACCAACAGGGGGCCCAAAAAGCCCCGTCTACAAGAACAATGGACCAACAGAGGGCCCAAAAAGCCCCGCCTACAAAAACAATGGACCAACAGAGGGCCCAAAAAGCCCCGCCTACAAAAACAATGGACCAACAGAGGGCCCAAAAAGCCCCGCCTACAAAAACAATGGACCAACAGAGGGCCCAAAAAGCCCCGCCTACAAAAACAATGGACCAACAGAGGGCCCAAAAAGCCCCGCCTACAAAAACAATGGACCAACAGAGGGCCCAAAAAGCCCCGCCTACAAAAAGAATGGACCAACAGAGGGCCCAAAAAGCCCCGCCTACAAAGACAATGGACTAAATGGGGGCCCAAAAAGCCCCGCCTACAAAAAGAATGGACCAAATGGGGTGCCCCCCCCCCAAAAAAAAAAGGGGCCCGGGTCCAATGATCCACCGTGTCTTCCTTGCCTCCCGGGGTCAGATCCCCGCGAATGGATCGAAGTCGGTCCAGGTGGGCGCTCTCGACCATGCCGCCACGCCATGGGCCCCAGATCACCAGCGGGTTGAAAAAATGGCGGCTACAAAACCAGCTTCACCAAAATTGGGTTGGAAACCCGGGGAACAAAAAAGAACACCTTGAGAGGATAGAACGGATTACAAAGCTCCTAACATGGGTGTGCAGGGTCAACAACTCATAAGACCTGTGAGCCCCGAGTCCCCCAAGTTTAGGAGGTTCATAGCCGCATTTAAAAAGTCAACACCTTCGGCGGCCACACGTGGGTGATTATCGTAGCTCTGGCTTTAGGATAACACCAAGGAAACCTAAAGCTCACTGGCAATGCAGGGTGACGTTCGGAGAACGCCTCGCTAGGTTGATGAGTTCACTTGCTGTTATTTCCAGATGAGTTCTGGTTGTGTTGGACTACGGGCCATTTCCCAAGGGTGCACTTCCTGGGCGTGGGAAGACACTGGATGCCCCTGGGCCGACCAGCTGCCAGGTCTCAGCTGATGCAGGGTGATTGACAAGGGCCCTTGGAGCCAAAAAGCTTACACCAACTAACATGGGTTGGTGCACAGACCCTGTAGAGAGACGTTTTTTGTCTCTTGGAAAGGGACTTTGTGCACTTCCATATTAGTTTGTAGGAGGGTAGCCTTTTGTTCCAGGTTCTTTGGGCAGGGAGCTTTCCAGGTTACGACCTGGGCTTGAAGGTTGGAATTGAGGTCACATTCGTGTTGATTTTTTTGTACCATGTACGGAGTACCGCTTGTTCTTGTCGTTTAGCTTGGTGTATGAGTGAGTTTGAAGGCAAAATTGAGTTTTTCAACATGGACCTGTATTGGACCTCCTTTTCGCTGATATTTAAAGTGAAACTAAACTTTGGGGTTCAATCCACCATTAAATCAACGGGGGTTCATGTAATCACGATTGTTTACCTAAGGATTGTCATCATCCAACTTGGGTCAACCTTTCTTGTCATGGGGGCAAGGAACCCCTGGGGGAAAAGGGAACCAGCCCCCCCATGGTGCGCACCCGCCCCCAGGCGTGGCCGATGACCAGCAAACCCGGCTAACGTGTGGCGCTCAGTGACTCAGACGGCGGCCTTCGATCGGTGCGAAGTGAGATAGGTAAGACTTGGAACCACAGCGACGGTCGACATGGTGGACAGAGATCTCCGAAAAATGTCTGTGGAATTGTGTGGGCTCGGCTTGATGCTTGGGTGGACACAGAAATAGTATCCACCTAAGTTGGTGTGGCTCTAAATTAACGAAGTGTTACGCAGGTGTTAGTGTTTGCTTTTGGTTCCATTTACCGAGGTGCCATTTTGGTAGACGTTTTGAGTCACAGGCAACAGTCCAGCAAAGGGTTCCCAATCAAGTTTTTGCCCATGGCAACCCATGTTTTGAGCCACTGGCAACAGGATTATGCATTGATTACGGGGTAAACAAAGAGGCCACCACGATGTAGTAATTGCCAAGCATGCCGGAATATTGGCAGTTGACGTTTGAATTTGGGAAGGAGATGGGGGAACCCAGTGAATGTCACTTGCAATGTTTTACTTCGATGATATTCTCTGGGAAGATCTTGGCGGTGTCTCAACATAGCGGTCCCCTAAAACAGTTGGTACCCACCAAAGCGGGTCCATTGTGAGAAACCCACGGTAAGTTTGCCCTCCGTAGGCTCCTAATCGCCTGTCCATACATATCCACGTCTACATGGTATGAAAGGGCTACGTGCTGCTTCCATGTTTGTACTGCTTCCATTTCTGTTTGAACGCCAGTAATAAGCTCGGAGGCCAAATGGGAGGGCTTCAAACTTCCAAGTCGCAACCTCTCTAATTCAGCCAGCTGTGGACGGGGATGCATTCCACTGATTTGCTTCTGTTGTCTCTCTTCTTATGGATTTCTTGGGGGTAATACCAGCTGGGCCTTTTGGGGTTTGGTTTCTCCCGCTCTCTTACTCGCTTGGTCCTAGGGCAACGCCGATGACGTCGAGTGCGGGAAGCGCGCTGCAATCTCTGATGACTGGCGCCCGCCTCGGCTGGATTCTCTGGAGACTGGGGCACCATGGGCATGAGGTTACCCTTCTTAGGGTTGGTTTCAGGAGCCCACAGGAAGCTGAAATCATTTTGGGTCAGAACACACGCTTGGCACCCACACGCATGGACTTGAGAGCTTTCTTCTCGTTGCACCTGGGCCCGGAAGTTGTCACCAGAAGTCCCGTTCAGCGCGGCATGCGGCCTTGTTTGGGAGTGTCAGATTACATGCACACCTTTTGGCGCCCTTGACACGTTTGACTAAAACGCAAAACGAAAACAAGAAGAAGTAGAAATAGAAGCCACCCCCCGAAGTCGGGTAAACACACCAAGTTTTGCGTCTGGTAACTTCATGGCGACTGATAAACGATCTGAGGGCCCCAGGAGGCTGAAGGGAAGCCGGTGGGTGTGTCTTTTTCTTGGTCGGACCCCCCCAAACAAGCGGTGGGTTTCCTCTTGGTTCCCTTTGAAACTATGAGACAAAAAGGTTCCCTCAAAGGACCTCAATGAGCCTTCGGTTTTCCAAACAGCCCATGGATTCCTTGCCGAGAGCCGGCAAGCACGAGGAAAGCAGCGGCCCCCAATTCTTGGACCTTCCTCAAACACAGCCGACACGGACGTCTTCGGCATGCGCTTGCCGAGTGTCAAATCAGCCTTCGAGGCTGTTCTCTCGATTCCGATGGGACATGGATCTGCCAGCGCGTTGTGCCACCCTTTCCATTTTTTGGTTTTGCGGGAGGGGTTCTTTTGCGCGTCCGTGCAAAATCTAGAAACCACAAATTCCTGCATTTCCCGAGTACTAGGATTGTCAAACGAGCTTACCCATGAAGATCATGAAGGTCCTCTCCTTACCGGGTGTGTTTGGTCTTTCTTATTTACGGCATGACCAGCATCCAACACGGCTCCTCCGCTTTTTGGACAGACCCCAGCTTGGCAAATCGGCGGGCGCATGCCATTTGCATCAAGGCAAGGGAGCGAAGAGCCACGGGCTTAGCCAATCGAGAGACCGGCACCAAGGTTGCCGGTTAAGAATCCAGCGGTACCTGGAGTCTCAAAATGGAATGGTGGGGAGGTGTTAGTTGAGTTTCCAAGACCCTTCAAGAATAGGGCAATTGATCATGCCTGTTCAAGGATCCTGGAGACTCCAGGTAGAAGGGCAGTTTGATGCCTCGTGGAACGACATTGAAGTTGAACTATGGCAGAGCTCCATTTTGCTAGTGACCACGCAGTTGAGTTCATGGGCACGCCGGACCTTGAGTTGGTCCATCCTAAGACCTGGTGTTGTTTCACCTCCATCCATTACTGAGCAACAGGTTATAGATGGAGATGATGGAACTCATAGACCTTGGCGAGAATCGGTTAAGCTCACTCCTTTGTTACATGTGGCAGATTTGGGTATAATATACTTGGAACTGTGTAGATGTGTTGTAACATCTTACGTCATTATGTGTTTGACCTTGAAGCAAATCCTAAGCTGAGGATTCGGTGCTGGTGGTGGTGTGCTTCTGGTTCTGCTTGCCTGCTGCATGCTTGGAGAAGGTCACTAGCCCTGCTAGAAGCTTCGCTTGCGATTTACGGGCCTTGTCTCAATAGCTTTTGCTTTGACCTGGGCCATACTTAGACCCGCGAACAAGGTATCTTTGTAGTGGTGATAGTTGCAAGGGTAAATGGAACACCAAAAAGGCAACATGTTCAACACATAAGTTGATTCTGGCAATGTAACTAGCTCCTTCTGGTTTCCTTAAGAGGGCAAGGGTCTGCTCGTAACACGGAGAATCGGCTTGGCCGGCCCTCCCTGGAGGACAGGCATGGAGACATCTGTCAAAAAAAAAAAAAAACGGGGAATCGGACCCCCCCCCAAAAAAAATATAATAATAACAAGAACAACAGCCCCCCCCATTAAAAAAAAAAAAACAACATAATAATGATGATAATAATAATAATAAACAAGCAAAACACACAAAAAAAACACATGAATTTTGCCGTGTTCCTGGTGGCTCCCCGGCAAACCAAGGTAAAAGGATACCAACTTGAAAGGCACACCTGCCATGCGGTTCTCACCCCTGCGCCGGTGCCGCCTTTTCTGAGGCTCCGGCGCAGCAGGCGAGGATCGATGTCCCAGTGGGGTGCTGCTCTTTTCGCCGTTTGTTTGGGAGGGGGCGTCCTTTCAATATGTCAACTAAGGTCAACTAAGATAGGGGAACAATAATTCGTGACAGTGATGCTTAACCCGTATTGTTTGGGAGGAGTGTCCTTTTTTGTAAAGGCAACTAAGGGGCAAAATGATTCCTGATACTCAACCCCTATCATGACTCATGGTGGTTTTCTAAGTGCCCCACATTTTCTATGTATTGAGGACCTGATCTTTTCTTGGTGCCCAAAAGAACATGTGTGTTTTTGGGGCTATGACGTTTCTAGAGGTGTTTGGGTCTCCTGGCCTGTTTTTTTTTTCTGCTTTCAGAGGGGGGTGTTGGATGTCTTTCTGGGGGCAAAAGGGTCTCTCATGTCTCGCCTTCATATGTGTCTGTCTGCGCTTTTCTTTTCTTTTTTTTGGGGGGGGGTACCTGGAGTCTCCTTCTGACCCTTTAAAAATGGTTGGTCATTACCCAAAATAATGGGCCCATTTTTAAAGGGTCATGGAGACTCCAGGTACCTTTTTCACCTTAATCTTGATCTTGGACTGCCACCATTTTAAGGGGGTTCCCCTATTTGGACAGATACCCATGGGTCCTTGTTAGTCTACAGTCGATTTGGAACAGATATGGGCACAACCCAAAGTCCCCTCAAACCCAAGAAACGGGGGACTCACTATTGCGCCACGGTCCAAACACCCCTTTTCTTAGGGTTGGGATGGCCATAGACTGCAGGGATTTTGTGGCATTGCAAAAGGACATCCCTCTAGGCTCTTTATCTGAATGTTGAAGAGAGTAGGCCAGAATGTTTCTCAACACCTCGCCTTGACTATCCAATCCATCGGAGATGGGTGGGCCCGTCTCGAACGCAGGTGCTACCGGCCGTAGGACGAACATGCCAATATGTGCCTCAATTGCAGAAGATACAGAACCTTGTTTCGAGATGCTGTGAGACGTGGAAACCGCACCTCATACCCCGACGCCCAAAAAACATCTCTCTGGACATCTTTAAACGGGTTAACCCTTGAAATGGAGTCAGTATCCATTTGACGTCCCCTCCAAATTGTCTCACTCCCTGAGTTCCGTTTCAGACTTCAGCCACTTTTGCAGTGGCAAACAGACAGTTTGGTTACTTTTTGGGCCCAAGCACTCGATGGGAAGTGAGACAAGTACGCAAAACGGGACAACCCTCGAAGGCACGCTGGGTGCAGCTGGCGAAAGGCGCGCGAACGAGTTGAGATTGGCTGACTTCTGAGTCCATTAGCTCAAGGCAGTTGTTCGCAACCCGATTCAGTAGAACCACCACGAACCGAAGTTTGGGATTCAAACCACCATTAAAACAATGGGAATGGGGTTCATAGAGCCACCTGGAGTTTCATCATCTAAATTTACTCCGCCAGTATTTGTCCATTAGGATTGATGTCTCCACCATTGTTTTCTCTGGAGGTTCATCTTCTAAATTTGGTCACCCCGTATTATTTTGAATGGGGGTTGAACCCTAGGGATAATATCTAGGGAATCCGCTGGATGATTGCAGGTATGTGCAAATTTGCGTTGGGGTGCTGAGTCAACATGGCAATTGCCATTGCCCAGAACGAGGCCCCATTTGGCCGTAGTTGGGTTGCGGAGTTACGATATTTTACTGTCATCTACCAGGGGTCCAAAAGGGAAATAGGTGAGTGTCCCTTGGTGGGAGTGATGTAATTAAAGGGAAATATAGGGAGCCCTGTCATCGGTAGCACAGGGTAATGACAATGACATAGCGCGTACTCACCAAACTACCAATAGGAAGTGGGTTACCCGCCAAAACTCCAAGTCGGTTGGGGGCACAATGAACATGATCAATTCTGGATTTGCCGTTTTTTGTTTTTTTCGAAGCCGTGCAAAGCCACGAAAGACTTCGCGGAAGGGTTTTCTTGTTTGCCCAGCGGGAAAAGGGTCGCATAAGCTGCACAGGTTGAAAAGCTCTTGTGGTTTTGCTGTGTTTGCTACAACGAACTTCTCGAAAATTGCTCCAGCCGCGCGACTCCGCGGCATGCGTTCACGCGCGCTCAAAAACGCGTCCGCGGGAGTCCACAAAGGCCCACGCGAAAGGAAGTGGTTCGGTTGCGCCCGCGCAAGAAATCTACCTGGAGTCTCCTTGTGACCCTTTAAAAAAGGGTCCATGACCCCATTTTGGGGTGATAACCAACCATTTTTTAAGGGGTCGGAAGGAGACTCCAGGTTATCTCTCACATGAGTATGTGTCAAAGTAAGGGAGCCCTAAAATGGTCTCACTTCCTGAGTTCATGTGCTTTAGTCACTTTTTGGGGTTGGACCAGTTTCCAGCTTGGATCCTTTTTGTTGGGCCATCTACTCGATCAGAATTGTGTGGTGGGTGTCGCTCTGGTATCCCGAAAACAAAAGAAAACAACAAATAGATCGATCTATTGTGGGTTCAGGCCGAAAGCCGATCAGAAGACCGTCGTCTCCAGCGCGCCGCGCTCCCAGATTGTTTGGAATCAGCAAGCTCAGATGGGAACAACAAAATTGGGGACCCGGATTGGAGAGATGCTTGGGGGCAAGCCGTTTTTCATACTTCAGAGCCATATCAGCTCTAGCCCGAACACTTCGGGGGTGGTTTCCCATTTACCCTCCACAAGAACCGTTCACATCAACCACCAATTCGGGTTTCCAGAGAGCAGTGCAGAATCCCAGTACCCTAGTTGGCACTTATTTTGGGTTGATTCAGGGTACCTACACAAAATGCAAAGGGGGCACCCCAGATCTACGCTCACAGGCAACCTGTTTTGTGTTGAGTCAGCTTGTCAGCCCTTACAAGACAGAGTGGCAGCCCATGTTTTCTGTCATGCCGAGTTGCCCAACGACCCCGAAAGGTCGCAAAAGCGAAAACCCTTTCTTCAGGTTGGCCAGCTTCAATGGGGAATCCATGAGATAGGAATTGCGCTACTGAATAATTATGTGGGCCCATGTCTCTGCAGCCTTGAAATGGTTCATATGCATCCTGCGGCAGTCTCCAATGCTTTTGCCGAACAAAAAACAACATTCCGTTCCAGACGTAGTGAACCTTAAAGCCTTAAACTCACTTGAGCGGATTGGCCATGTCTAAAGTATGTGACCATTGAAGCGGTCTTCCCAACAGCTTGGCCCCGATGAGATGGATGTATTCGAGATCAAGAACAATCCGGCAAGGTTCCAATAGCGGAACAACGACTTCTGGTGGCGCAGGCACCATGCTCCGCATCCCGCATCCGCTGGATGTCGGGGCAGGAGCTACCGCTACCTGCCATCAACATGCATCTTCTTGGCGAGAGCCCAGACATGGGGTGCTTGAAGCGTGAGCTGCGCAGGCTGCATAACTTTCCGATTTGCCTGCAGCTGCTGCTGCACAACAGCAATGTCTTGCATGATTCAACAAAGCTAGATGCTTCCCTGGACATTCAGCTAGTCCTCTTATCCAACTGCACCGATCTGCAGAAGGAGGCTGAAAGCGAGTTGTTATATGCTGGCAAGAATGGCCGTGCCGAGATTGCAAAGTCACTATTGGAAGCCCGCGTTCACCCGGACTCGAGTGATGGCACTGACAGAACAGCTCTTGTGCATGCAGCACTCCATGGGCATGTGGAGGTTGTGCAGCTGCTGTTGGGAGCCGATGCTGATATGCACTGGATGGATGAGCGCGGAAACACAGCTCTGACTTACGCGTTGGCGAAGGGCCATGCGCAGATTGCACGTGCGCTGCTGGAAGCTGGCCTTCCCAGATGAGGATGATTGCGAGACTCTGAGACAGCTCGAGACAAACAGTTCTCACGCAGAAGTAAAAGCAGCGCCGACAGCGCGGATCGCGGCAAGTAAGAACTTTGCACCCCTTCCAGCAACCCATCGTTAGCGAGGAGCGCCTCTGAGTATACGCACAGCACCTAGAAAAGAAAGTGCCTGCGGCCTGCTCGACAAAAAAATATTTCTATCCTACCCAGCGATTCCATTTTCCTGGTTTTCAGTTTTTCCCCAAGCGAACCGCCCACAGACTAAGCGGCCCTTTGCAGTGCCTTTCCCCCGAGGCCAAAGACGGACCAGAAGACGGTGGTCTCCAGTGCGCCCGGCTCCCCAGCCTTTTTTTTTATTTCCCGAATGCGTAGCAGAAGGCTTCCCGTTATAGAAGTGGGTCTGAGGGTCAGCATGTGCTCGCCAGATGCGTCGCTGTGTTTGCAAGCGTCCGCGAGTGGAACGTAAGGCCGTGCCGTTGGAGAAAGCGTTTTACACGTCGTTTGGATGACTTGAAACGTGTCATTTTTTGTGCCCCTGTGCGGGAATCGTAGCCCTCAGCAAGTCAGACATGGTTTTGCTGCGCAGGCGCAGTGTTTTGGAAGGCTGCGTGTTCTCGTTGCCGTGATCGGCTCGTTTTGGCGAGCTGAAACATGTCACAATTGGTCGAAATCATTCTGGCGCCGCAGTCCCCGGCCCGTGCTAGTTTTGGATGCGTGTCGTAAACGTGTCAAAAGTTGGATTTCGTGGCAGGTCCAGCAGTTTGGATGATTTTGAATTTCGTGGCAGGCGCAGTACTTTGGTGCCTGGGTGTAGATTTCGTGGCAGGCACGTCACTTTGACTCAGCGAGATCGCTCTCGCTGTAGCGCGGTGCACATTTTGAGGACGCGAAGCGAACCCTCTGCGCACTTTCGCTGGGTCGAATCTCTCAAAAGCGTCGCTTACATTTGTGTGGGTGTGTTTGCTCAGAAGTGTTGCTCGGAAGCGCTGATTAGAAGCATCGGTCAGAAGTGTTGCTCAGAACTGTCGATCAGAGGTGTCGGTCAAGGGTGTCGAAACAGCAGTGTTGGTCAAAAGTGTTGCTCGGAAGTGTCGGTCGGAAGTGTTGCTCAGCAGTGTGAATCAGAAGTGTTGACCAGAAGTGTCGATCAGAAGTGTCGATGAGCAGTGTGCATCAGAAGTGCTGATCAGAAGTGTTGCTCCCTCAAAAGTGTTGTGCACAAGTGTCGCTCTGAAGCATCGATCAGAAGTGTGGATTATAGAAGCATCGATCAGAAGTGTTGCTCAGAACTGTCGATCATGGCGTCGGTCAGAGGTGTCGATCAGCAGTGTCGAATCAGCAGTGTACGTTGCTCTGAACTGTGCGTCAGAAGTGTTGCTCAGAAGTGTTGCTCAGAAGTGTCAATCAGAAGTGTCGCTCAGGAAATTGATTTCAGCAATATTGCTCAGAAGTGCCGCTCAGAAGTGTCGATGAGCAATGTGGATCAGAAGTGTTGGCCAGATGCTCAGAACTGTCGATCAGAAGTGTCGATCAGAAGTGTCGACCAGAACTGTACCAGTATGCAGGAAATAACTTACGGGGCTTATAAGTTACTTATCTAACTTACAAGTTACTTATGAAGCAGTTAACTTATGCAAGTTAAAACGAACTTATAAGTTCACCCTAAGTTACTCGGGCGGCCGCCGCGGCAGTACTTTTTTTCCACAACGCATTCTCGGCACGGGTGTTGAGTTCGCGCTATATACACATGAAGCCACCAAACAGCGGCAAGGTTATAACTAGTGCAGGCAGATCAAGTCCTGGTCGCACGTGGTCCACATACCATAGCGTTCCGGCAGCTGCGAGGAAGAAAAAGAAAAGAAAAACAAAGGAGTCTCGAGCCGAGAGAGCCGCGGTCGATATCAAGCGCAGGCAAAAACCACAAAAACATGCGCCGACAAATGCCGACATTGGCCGACGTCAGGGGTTCCGGGGCCGTATGCTACTACGGCACGTGACGCCGACATGGGGGGGGGCTACGAATCCAGGGTGCCAAGAAAACCTCGCCGACAAATGCCGACATTGGAAAATTTGAGTTATAGCCCAAAACACAAGGAGCCGGAAAAAAAGAAAAACAAACACAAAAGACGCAAAAAAGAAAACCCCCGCAGACAAGTCTGCGCAGATGCCAGAAGCCTCTCTCTGCCACCCGGGTCGGCCGCGGCCGCGGGGAGGCACCGTGACACGGCTTGCAGACAAGCCAAGGCCATTGCGCCGCGCAAAGCAAAAGCTTGAACCAGCAGCTGCGGGAAAACAAAAAAGAGCCAGAAGCAGCGGCGGAAGAAAAAGGCGAGCAAAAAGCAAATACAAGTTTTCTACTCTGGGGACACAGAAAAGCCTATGTGGGGTGACTATATATTTTTAGCAACCCTATCACACTATAGACCCTGCGCAGGTGCTCATTTTTTTGGCGAACGTAAGTTCACCCTAAGTAGTTCCTAAGTTCATCGTAAGAAATTTGACGCACAAGCCATAAGTCCCATTAGTCGACCCCGACTAACTTATAAGTTCATATGAACTTACGGCGCACTCACGCAGGTTATCGAACTTATAACCTATATTACAAAACTTATAACCTAAGTTATAACCTACTCATAAGCCCCGTAAGGAATTTCCCGCATACTGGTAACTCCGAAGGGTCGATCAGAAGTGTCGCTCGGAAGTGTCGCGCAGAAGTGTCGCGCAGAAGTGTCAATTCAGCAGAGTTGCTCAGAAGTGTCGCTCAGAAGTGTCGATGAGCAGTGTGGATCAGAAGTGTTGGTCAGATGTGTCGCTCAGAAGTGTAAGTCCGAAGTGTCGATCAGAAGTCTTGCTCAAAAGTGTTGCTCGGAAGTGTCGGTCGGAAGTGTTGCTCAGAAGCGTCGCTCGGAAGTGTTGCTCGGAAGTGTTTGACAGAAATGTCGCTTGTCTCTCAGAAGTGTCAATTCAGCAGTGTTGCTCAGAAGTGTCGCTGAGAAGTCTATTACGCGCTGGAAAGTCAAGTATAGTACGTGAAGTACAAGTTTCCAGCTCTGGCTGGAAGATCGCAACTTTTTGAAGCGCAAGTATAGTACGCGAAGTACAGGTTTTGAGCTCCAGCTCGAAAATCGCAACTTTGTAATACAAGTCTAGTACGCAGGGTACAGGTTTTCACCTCTAGCTGCGATTGGACAATCGCAGCTGTGTAGCGCAAGTGTAGTCGCGAAGTACGGTTTTCCAGCT